AATAGTGCCTGAATTTAAGCAAGTGCAATCTCATCCATCTGCACAAAAGTTGCCGCCTTACGCCAGAAAACTCTCCTCTCATCACGGGGGTTTAGGCGCGAGTATCAGCAACACCAAGGATAAATCGGGTGATCAAGTAACCATAGGTATACATTTTGGCCCTGAAGAATTTGTTCAAAAAGCCTTAGATGTGGGCCATCCAACAAGGCTGCACTCTTTCTTCCCGGACGAAATGGAAACAGTGGTGAAGCACTGCCTGGATAGGAATACAGCCAGCCTATCGCAAGACCGCACCGAAGAAATCAAAAGGTGGATCCACTTGAAGCAATCGCTGAACACGGAAGAGTCCTTGATCAAGGAGAAAATGTCGGATAGAAGAAAAGACATCCTGGGAAGCAAAAACCTTGCTCTGTTCAAGCATCTCCTGAGCGATGCTGGGCATGGAGATGTGGCCCTGGTAGAACAGCTCGCTGAAGGGTTTGATCTCACCGGGAGCCTTCCGGAATCCAATGTATTCTCAAGGAAAGTTCGCCCAGCGACTATGTCTTGTGGAGACCTCAGAAGGATAGCAGACCTGAGCCGGCAAGGCATGCTGCAAATGGTTAAGTCTTCAGGTGACTCTGAAATTGATGTGCAACTTTACGCGGCGACCATGAAGGAAGTGTCAAAGGGTTTTCTTGAGGGGCCTATCGACCCTAGGATGTTGCCCGCAGGATCAACCCTCACCCGCAGGTTTGGGGTTTTCCAAAAGAACAAGACAAGACCCATAGATGACTATAAGGCCTCCTTCGTAAACTCAAGTGTGTCACAGACCGAAACAGCAACGGTGCATACCGTAGATCATGTAGCCTCCATGATAGCTTGTGTTTTGAGACACGCTGAAGACAGATCGCAGCGACCCAATTTGGTTGCAAAGACTTGGGACCTGGCTGACGCTTACAAACAAATACCCCTCAGTGATCAGGCCTTCTCTCAGGACGCTTACCTTGTGGTGTTTTGCCCTGACACCAACAAGGCGGAGGTGTTTCAACAGAAAGTACTTCCCTTTGGATCTGTGGCGTCCGTCACGGCATTCCTGCGTGTGGCTCACGGCATATGGAGGCTGGGGCACCAACTTCTCAAATTGATGTGGACATCTTATTTTGACGACTTCTTCTCTGTAACTGATGCAGCCAGTGCCAAACATACTGACTTAGTCGTCCTTACGATGTTCAATCTTTTGGGTTGGAAATTATCCGCGGACAAATTGATCGATTACAACACTGCCTGTAAAGTGCTCGGGGTAGAATTCGATCTCAAGATGTCTGGGGAGGGCTTGGCAACAGTAAACAACACCTCCGAGAGGGTTCAGGAACTGTGCGATCAACTGGACTCCATCCTGGATGCAGGCAAGTTGAAGAAGTGTGACGGTGAAAGGTTGAGAGGCCGATTGCAATTTGCCAGTGGCCAACTCTTCGGGAGAAGTGCCCGAAACAGCCTCAGGGTTTTGTCCAAGCACATAGCCAGCAATCGTCTCCAGTTGTGCAACGACACTGTTGCGGCCTTGAACAGCCTTAAGTGCCAGTTGATGGCTAACTTGCCACGCACCATCAGGGGGCCAATGTCCGATCACATACACATCTATGTTGATGCGTCCTTCGACCCTGATAATTACTCTGGAGTAGGGGGCACAGCTTATGCTAGTGATGGGACAGTTTTGGGTTTCTTTAGTGAAGAAATAAGTAAATCTTTCATTCTTGCTGCCATGAGCACGGATCAACAGACCATGATCCAGGAGTTGGAGATGTTGGCTTTGTTGATAGCAGCCTCTATGTGGTGCCCATGCCACGAAGGACGTCGCATAGTAGCCTTCACCGACAGTGAAGCTGTCAGAGGCAGTTTTCTTAAAACTTGGTCTGGAAATGATCCTAGCAGCAAAGTTCTCAGAAAGATTTTTCTTCTCGAGGAGACCCATTCATGTCATATTTGGCTAGAGCGTGTGCCGAGCCAGTCCAACCCAGCGGACGAGTTGTCTCGAAGCCAAGTGGCTCGATGGGCCGGACATGAAAGGACAAGGGTCGATGTTAGTAAGCTGTGGAACCACACGGCCACCAGCATGGGGTGAGAGCGCGCCGAAGTGGCAGAGCGATCCGATCCCCAATGGCAAAAAGTATGCAGCTGCGTCATGCATGCTTGGGACATTGACATGTGTCATACACCGCAGCAACATGAATCAAAGAGCATAAGAATTTTCTCATGATGAAGTCATGATAGATTTTTATGTGAGGGATTCATGTCATACGAACATTAGTGAGTGCTGCGGTGTTTTTCCCTGTTGTGCATGCAAACATGTTGATACGGATTTCATGGTTGCATTTTGGTTCTAAGTCACAAGTGCGACTGTCGTCGGCAAGTGCCGAAACGTGAACTTCATGAGTTGGCATGTCATTTACTGACAATTCATTTGTCACAAATGCATGTTCTCAATTTCATCAACTCAAAGTTAATTTGGAAGTTCACTTTCAATTCAAAATGAAATCAATTTTCATATCAAAATTTTCGTCCCGAACCTCTCCCACCCATGGAAGCAGCAAATCAAACGCTCCAGAGTTTCTTCGTCCAGTTTGTCATTGTGCAGTACTATGCCCAGCAGCTCAATCAGATCGATGAGCATTTGATAGACCTATCCGATTACTTTGAGGATCAGGGCCTTCACCAAGCTACACCGCTGATCAACAATATGCGTACGCAGGTACGCCAGTTGAAGGCCCACTTAGAGTTTTTGGCATCCATCAAATTGCTCCAAAGTTGCCGGGCCATCCAACAGTATCTCCTCCAACATGGCCGGCTTCCATACCTCGACATGTGACCTTGCTGGGCATTGACGTTGGACTTTGGAACGTTGTACATTTTTATTTCGCTCTGGCCTACCCAAAGCCAGAGCGCGCCGAAGTGGCAGAGCGATCCGATCCCCAATGGCAAAAAGTATGCAGCTGCGTCATGCATGCTTGGGACATTGACATGTGTCATACACCGCAGCAACATGAATCAAAGAGCATAAATATATATATATATATTGTATACAATAGAGATAGCAGATAGCACACATGCATTTTTTCTTCCGTCGCTTTTGGAACTGTTTTGTTGCAGATGGCTTCCAATTTTGGACGGATTTGGAGGGGCACTGCGCATGTTGCACGTGTGACGATACTAAGGAGGGGTATTCTTTTTGGCATTTTTTTTTTGGTCCTGGCTCCTGGTGGCTTCTGTGGCTTCTGTGGCTTCTGTGGCTTCTGTGGCTTCTGTGGCTTCGCGGCTTCTGTGGCTTGTACGGTGTTGGCTCCTGGTGGCTCCGGTGGCTCCTGGTGGCTCCTGGTGGCTTCTGTGGCTCCTGGTGGCTCCTGGTGGCTTCTGCGGCGTCTGTGGCTTCTATGGCTTCTATGGCTCCTGGCTCCTAGAGCTCCTCGCTCCTATGGCTCATTTATCATCTATCGATCAATCTATCAGTGAAGCATGTTCACCAGGTGCATGTTGTGCATTAGATACACCTCGAGTATCATCTATCTATCTATCTATCTATCCATCCACCCACCCACCCACCCATCCATCCATCCATCCATCCATCGATCTATATATCTATCTATCTATCTGTCTATCTATCTATCTATCTATCTGTCTATCTATCATCTATCTAACTATCTATCTGTCTATCTATCTATCTATCTATCCATCTATCTATCTAACTATCGAACTATCTATCTACCTGATTGTATCTATATCTATCTATATCTATCTATTTCTATCTATATCTATCTATATCTATCTATATCTATCTGTATCTATCTATTTCTATCTATATCTATCTATAACTATTTATGATGCAACTCAAACTTGTTTGATGAAATATTATTTTCACACATAGAATGTTAAGTGCTATATGTATAGCACACCCAAAACGCAATTGATGAATCATGTCAAACAGTGAAGTTTCAGAGTCAATGCAGTTTTGCTCAAATGGACCAAGAATAACCAGTGGGCCAGGGGTACGGGGCTCAGAGTCATGTGACTCAGAGAGTATCCTTTTGCCTTTCTGTCAAGTGACAGCAGAGTCATGCCAAGTGGCATCCAAGTACTCCTGACGGCCCCAGGACGTCAACGGAAATTTTTGGAACGCACGTGGTCGACACAGGTCCATTCACTTTTTCTTTTCGAACTCATCAGTGTCAAAGTGATATAGACCCGTTTTGAAATAGCACCTAGGGTGAGCAGCTGTATGTCTTTAAGGTGTGCTGTATGCAATAAGATTTTCAGACATCACTCTAACAAACAGTTGGTGCGCATGAGCAATGCGACATGACACTATGCCTCTTGCACAGGATCACAATGAGCCAGCGAGGGCGCGCCAGTGTATCATCTCCTGAGCCGGACTCCACGGATATCCCAGTGGGCAGTAACCAAGAGACCCTTGTTGTGAAGCTGATAGATGTTTTCCTTGATCACGATGAAATGAGGGTCCATCTTGTTGCGACAGCGGCCATGCTGACGGAGTTGATTAGGATCGTCGGCACTCCAGCTTTCATTTTGATTTTTCTTCAATTCCTCAGAGAAATTGACCTGGCTCGTAGGTGGCTGGGGTCGCCAATGCAAGGCCACCCTCACGACTTGATGAATGAAGTGCCCCTGCGCAAGGAAGGGTCATACAGATCCTGTGACTTTTCCGCTGTGAGAATGGCAATGTCCAATGATTTCTCCAATCGCTGTGATTCGTTTTATGCCATCCTAGCATTTCTTCAGAACAGTTGCGCTCAAGGGCACGAGGACCAATTATTTCGGTACCTCTGTGAAGTGCAGGTCCTGTTGGACATGTTGGTAGCTTGCATTCGTTAAACCAGTAGGATGGAAGTGAAAAAGGCAACCACAAATTGTCACAGAACCTTTCAGCATGGCAGTTGCCACTCAACTTTGATTGCAAGAGCGATTCTTTTTGCAAATTTTTGAGATTCGAAAGGAAGCTTGGCTCAATGACAGACGGGGACGATGCAGAAATTGAACCGGGCACAACGCTGCCTGTACCTCCATCGCTTGACGGCATTAGCCCGACCTCAGGGGGTGATGATGTAGAGGGCGACGGTTATCCATTTGGCGACAGAGAAGATTTGTTTGCTGGTGATCTCAGCCCGTGCCAGCCGGGTTGCGATGATGATGACCTGGAAGGTAACAAGTCAGATTCAGGGCCTTGGAACAGCCAAGACCAAGACACCCTCGCCCAAGACGCAGCCCCTGCGAGGAAAGACCAAGTCCTTCGAGGGCGTTTTCTTAGTGACGCAGAGTCCAAGGTTCTTGATTCAATGGTAAACCAAGCCATGCTTAGTGCATCACTGGATGACGGGTTGCAATTACCTTGGGAAACAGGGGTCATGGCCTCGATTTTTGGGGACGCTCCCTTAGCCTCGATGCCGAGCATCCCTTCTCTTGCCCATAGCATGGATGACAGAAAAGTTCTTCCAAGCAAAGATCAACCAAGTTCCGTCGAGCCTCAACCAAAACGCCAAAGGGTGCTCAACTCCACGTTGAGAATGTTTGAACGGGCCATCCAATTCAAGAACGTCCTGACAGACCATGATGCGGACGAGGTCAAGTGGAATCGAGCCTTGGAGAAGCTCTACACTGTGATGATATCGAGCCCTGGAACTGTGCCAGAAGGCGTGAGATTCAAGGAAGGGCACATGGACCTCAACTTGAAGCAAATTCGAATCCTTTGCGGATCAAGGAGCCCAAACACCGTTGCCAAGAGAGCGACCAGCTTGATGAAATACTGCATCTGGCACCGGGGCTTCTTTTACAGACGGAACCCCTTGCCCCTAGACTCAGAGGAAGTAGCAGAGTACATATGGGAGAAACATCAAGACGGAATGGCCTACAGTGCCATGGTGAGCTTTGTGGAAGCGGCAAACTTTGCCGTGCATGTGCTGGGAATCCCTCTCAAGCGCCCCAATGCGCCCTTGGTCACTGCTTTCACGAAAGGGATACTGGACAAGACTTCCACCAACAGACCTGGACGCAAGCAAGCGAGACCACTTAAGGTGGTCGAAGTGGTGCATTCGGAAGATACACTGAACAACGAGAGCCTCGATCTATTTGACAGATATGCTGCAGGGGCTTTCTTGTTTGCAGTCTATGCCAGGTGCCGTTGGTCAGACTTGAGAAGCGTCAATGGTTGCGAACTGGATGTGGATGTCTCCAACGATAGGCTGGTGGGCTTCATTAGCTTCAACACCTTTTCGCACAAGACCGCATCACAAGTTGCAAAGCATGGTCTTCCCATGCCCCTCATTGCTCCAATATGGGGTCTGGGCAACCCACCATGGGCGATGACTTGGAAGAAGGAAGCGGTATCCCTAGACTTTGCCAACTTTGCAAAAGGAGCAATCCTCCCGGCTCCCGATGTTTCCGGGAAGTGGACACATCGCAGTGTCACGTCGGTGGAGGCGACAAGGTGGCTGCTTGAGCTTCTCAAACCCTTCACCAGCGACTTAGAGGATGTGTCATCACACAGTTTAAAAGCAACTACGTTGTCATGGCTTGCAAAAGCTGGATGCGATCCGCACCGCAGAACGGTGCTTGGACACCACTCCTCAGGGAAGGGATCGTTAGAGGTCTACTCCCGCGACATGTTGTCAGCACCCTTGAGAACACTGGAGGAAGCATTGCGGCAGATCCGTATAGGGGCCCTTTGCCCCGACCTGACAAGGTCAGGACACATCAAGGAGCCTTCCAAGCCAGACTGCAAAGACGCACCAGTGAAGGAGACGGAAGGACGAAAACAAAAGGGTCAATCGAGCTCGAGCTCTTCCACCAGCTCTTCAACAAGCTCGTCTTCTGGAGGCGAGTCGGCAGACGAACAACGGCTGATCGCCGTAGGAGGAGCCGACCCTGGTGTCCACCTATCGGCTTGGGGGAATTTCAATATGTTCCAGCATGAATTGAGCAAGATCGTGCATGCCGAGGCAGACAGCGACTCCTGCACATTCAAATGTGGCATGAAGGCTACTGCCGAGCATAAGTTGATTGTTAGCACTGCATTTCTGGAAAGCCGCAAATGCAAGAGGTGCTTGCGAGCCATTGAGAACTCGTGACCGACTGCCATGCCATAGCCGATAAATGTGCATGACACTGCAGTGAACGCCAAACTAGTTTGAGAGCTTGCATAACACAGCTTGGATTCTTAACCTGTATCATTTCCTGCCCTGGCACAAGTCAGCTCCCTTGTTGCAAAGCAATGTCGTCATAAACATGTTAGTAACTGCACTTCCTTTCTTGGCTTTGCTTCATGTTGTATTATTTCTCAACAGTTTTATTTACTTGCAACTGCCGGAAAAACCTAGTGTGCATCCGTGACCAGCTTGAAAGCCATGGCAAATCTGCAACGCGAGGCTGCATCACTAGTACACTCAACTGCGGCCCTCCGAGACCGGGCGCTGAAAGCCGGTTTGAGCACGGAGGAAACAGATGCAATCATTGACAGTGGTGTGAGTTCAATGGCCCAGATGGCCTTTGCAATTTCCCCTCCGGGAACAGCCCCTTCAGAACAAGATGTAAGAGATTTCTTCAACGGAAAGGTAGCCGTGAACTTGGGCACCATAACATCAACAAAGTTGCTGGTATTTGAATGCCACACGCTGGTTGTTGCCAACATCAAGTCAGAGGTGAACCGAAAAGACGATTCCGCCAGCCAGAGCACTTTGCCCTCGGCGGAAAGGGATCGTCGGATAGCCGACCAAAGACAACGATTGGCAGGTTTACGCCTTAAGGGTGATGAGGAAGTTGCTCACTCATCCTACGACCTGGCCTTTACCATGTTAGAGAAGGATGTGGTGACTTACCTTCACCCAGAGAAGTTTGTGACCCGAAGGTCCGAATTGTTGCAGAAAAAGCCCGCGAAGCAACTGTCACTGGATCAAGACTCCCTTATGGTCAAAGAAAAACCCTTGGACATGACTTGCAACACACGCACAGAACTTGAATTGGTCCAAGCCTTTGGCCGAAGGGCCCTCGCCTTCGACCTTGTGGGACTGACATCCTACGAACTCATGAACTCCTATCACGCTGAGTTGTTGAGCCACCTCCAAGAGGACCCTCCACCGGGTTATACTCAAGTGTCAGTGACTCAAGTGTTGCGAGCAGACAGGGCAGTGTTCCTCCATCTTGCTGAAGTTCTTACTACTTTGAAGAGGAACACTGCAGGCGAACTTCCGCTTGAAAAGGAGCTCATGGCTACCCTGGCCAGGCCAAGTGTCAGTTTTCACCTGTTGTCACTAGCCGCTGCTGCACCGGCCAAAGCCACGCCAAAGGCCAATCCCAACAACGCCAACAAACGCAAAAGAGAAGAACGAAGCAGTGCCGCACCTCCCCAGCCGGGGAAAGGGCAGCCACGCCAAAAAGGCCGTGGTAAAGGAAAGTCAAAACGCAAAGGGAGGGGACCCAACGTCCCCAAAGATCTAGTAGGCAAAGCCTTAGAAACGCATGATGGACGCAGAATATGCTGGCCCTTTAACATGCAAAATGGATGCCAAGATGCATCGCCTGGCGGCCAGTGCCAGCGCGGAGTTCATGTATGCGCGGAGCCAGGGTGCGGCAAGCCACATAGCTTGCTGACCCACAAAAGCTCTTGAAGCCAGGAAAGTGACACTCTTCCCTCAGCACCTGCAACCTTCGAAGCAAAGATATCAGCCAAGTGCTACGGGAAGCATTGTACAGACCTTTTTGCAATAGAAATTTTCTCAGGCACCAGCCGCCTGACTGCAGCAATTCGACAGCTTGGTTTGCGAGATTCATTTGGAATTGATCATGCCATTTCTAATCGGCTTGTCGCGCCCGTCGTGCAGCTTGACCTAGCAGATGCAGCCAATTTTGCTTTTGTCAAAGACATCATCCAGGAACCAGGGTGCATTTATGTACACTTTGCCCCGCCTTGCGGGACTGCCAGCCGAGCCAGATTCATTAAGCGCAAAGGACGCTACAATCCGCCCTTTTTGCGGACAGATCTCAAACCTGATGGCTTGCCCAATTTGAGTCCTTTGCGCTCTTCCAAAGTTGCATCCGCCAACCTTTTGTACCAACGCACCCAGGAATTGTGCCGCCAGTGTGTGTGCAACATGGAGTCTTTTTCTCTATCGAAAACCCAGCCAGAAGCTTTATGTGGAACACCAAACACATGGCTCAATTTTTGGAGGATGTGCCACACCACGACACATACTTCCATCACTGTATGTATGGTTCAGCCAGGCGCAAGCACACACGCCTTACACACAATATAGCCACCGTGTGCCAAATGGAATCCCAATGCGACAATCAGCATGCCCACGAACCGTGGGGTTTCGCCCAAGATGGGTGGGCCACAGCCGAGGAAACAGCTTATCCCTGGCAGCTGTGTCGGCGACTTGCCGCACTAGTGGCGCTCCAGTTGCAAGAACATGGGCTCCAATGTCCCACGCCTACATTTGCCACACATGCCTCCAAACTTGATGCTATTAGGCAGCAAACTGAATTTCAACCCTCAGCCAAGGGACTACCATGGGTCAGTGAATTTAAAGACATCCAGTACATTCCTGCCTCTCAACCAGTTCCTGCTGATGCAAGACTCATTGGCACTCCTGCAGTGGGGTACATCGCGAGTGCCGCACAGAAGACAATTGGAATACATAGAACGCCCCAAGAATTTGTAGAAACTGCATTAGGAGCAAAGCATCCGGGCTACCAGTCCGACCAATTGCCAGGACCCTTGAAAGAAGCAATATCCTTTTGCACCAGGCACTCGGAAGACCATGTAGCCACCTCGAGATCCGAGATGCTCAGATCCATGATAGCGGAAGCTAAAGCATTGGCCGCGGAAGAAGCCAAACTCAAAGACACCATGACTGAAAGACGGAAAATGGTTCTGGACAAGAAACGCCTGCTGCTTTTCAAGTCTCTGCTCGAGCGTGCACAATCCCCTGATGTGTGCCTGGTGGATGATATAGCCGAAGGGTTTGATTTGACTGGGAAACTGCCTGCCTCCAACCACTTTGCAGCTAAGTTCAAGCCGGCCAATATTCCCCCAGAAGCGCTAAGGGGAATTGCGGACCGAGCCAGAAAGGTCCTCTTGGAGAGCGTGAAAAGTTCTGGTGACCAAGTCATTGACGACGGGGTGTATGAAGCCACAATGAAAGAAAGAGAGAAGAGCTTCAAAAGAGGACCAATCAATGTTGAGGACGTGCCTTCTGGAGGGACATTAACCCGTCGATTTGGGGTCTTCCAAAGGGACAAAGTTCGCCCAATTGATGACTACAAAGCAAGTCTTGTCAATTCATCGGTGACACAAACTGAAGTCGTGACACTCCACGGTGTAGACCACATAGCAGGCATGGGCGCAGCTATTATCAGGTCACTGGTGAGCCACGGACATCACGATGCTTTGGTGGCCAAATGCTGGGATCTTGCAGCCGCATACAAACAAATCCCCCTATCAGACGAAGCATATGAGTTAGACTCGTACATAGTCGTGTTCAACCCTGGCACCGGCAGCCCAGAAGTTTTCCAACAAGCTGTTTTACCCTTCGGATCCGTAGCTTCAGTGACTGCATTTTTGCGTTGCGCTATGGGTCTGTGGATAATTGGTTGCAGGTTATTGAAACTGGCCTGGACCTCATACTTTGACGATTTCCTAAGCCTCACCACTACTGGTTTGTCGAGGCACACGGACCTTTGTATATCCACGTTCTTCCACTTGATGGGATGGGACCTTTCCACAGACAAGCTCCTGCCCTATGCCGAGTGCTGCAAAGTTTTGGGGGTGGAGCTCGTTTTGACCAAGACTCCACTAGGCTCCTTTGATGTGCGCAACACTCAGTCCAGAGCAGATGAACTCATCTCGAGCATCTCCGAGATCTTGAAAGCCGGGTACCTTTCTAAGCCAGACGGTGAGAAATTACGTGGACGTTTGCAGTTTGCATCAAATCAGCTCTTCGGGCGTAGGTTCCGCAATTGTCTCCAAGAACTGAACATACATTTGTCACGGAACCTGAGGGTTTTAAGCCCTGGCCTGGAATCTGCCATGAAGCTTATGGTATACCTTTTGGGCTGCAACGCCCCAAGGTCAGTTGGAGCTGGACACACAAACTGGTTCCACCTATATGTTGATGCGTCATTTGAACCCACTGGCTCCTCGGGTATAGGTGGACTACTTTTGGAACCGTTGGGGACTTGCATTGGCTGTTTCAGTGAGATCGTGAACACAGATCTGCTCGAGGCCATCATGAGGCCAGATCAGGAGACGCCCATCATGGAACTTGAAGCACTTGCAATATACGTTGGCGTCAGTCTGTTTAAAGACCTGATCAATGACACCAGACTTGTAGTCTTCACTGACAATCAAAGTGCACAAGCATCGGTTGTTAAATGCAAGTCCAACAACCACAATGTTGACCTCATTATCCGCGGCATTTGTTCCCTGGAGGAAAAGCTCAACACGGTATGCTGGTCGAAAGAGTACCGAGCTACTCGAACCCAGCTGATGTTTTGTCAAGAGAAGAAACATTCACCTACAAAGGTGTCAACAGATCACGAATGGATCTTTTACAAGCCTGGAAAAGATGTCAGACGGAGAGCACTCCCAGCCTCCATTCTGGGGGAGGACGCGAGGCTGATTGAGACTTTTGAGCCCCAGTGTCAAAAAGAAGACGTGCGCGCTGAACTGCACACTGTGAGATGTGTCGTTTTGGTACCATTCGAAGTAAAGAAAATAAGATGCAACTCAAACTTGTTTGATGAAATATTATTTTCACACATAGAATGGTAAGTGCTATATGTATAGCACGCCCAAAACGCAATTGATGAATCATGTCAAACAGTGAAGTTTCAGAGTCAATGCAGTTTTGCTCAAGTGAGCACACGTCCCAACGTTTTATCTGTTTTGTTTTCGTCCCAGCCCACTTCGTTTTCCCCCCCTTTTCTCTTTCACAGCCATGTCATGTGACTGGCATTCATCTTTTGGCTTCAGCTTTATCTTTTGTCAAGTGATTATTTTGGTATCATGTGCTACATAATCACCAAGTTCGTGTCGAGTGACACACAATCGCAAGGCACGTGCTTCGCTTTCCAAACAGTATCAAGTGATACTTTCCCACTTGGCATGAACTACTAGTTTCTGCACAGGTTCTTTGTTTAACCACTTGCACATTAGAGTGACTTTTTCGGCGATGGATGCTACACCGCCATCCTTCTAAACACTGCTGGAACCTTACCAACAGTTAGTCGCCTTCAAAGCACATTTGGAGCAGACTCGCCTGTCCTTGGCACATTTGACAACCATTGCCCCAAATTTTCTGCCTGATGCACGAGAGTGGGTCAATATGGCCACCGCATTATTGGAACGCATAGATCCTCAGCTCCAACGCATGGAAAGCCAGCTCCTGGCAATCTTACAGATTCAACTCCAATATGCGATCTCAAATCATGGCCATCTACCCATCCTCGAGGAGGACTGATTTTACTTTGAGGCATCAGTGCAAGTGCTACGTGTTCGAAACTGGCCTAGCCCACCGTTCGGACGCGAGGCTGATTGAGACTTTTGAGCCCCAGTGTCAAAAAGAAGACGTGCGCAGCTGAACTGCACACTGTGAGATGTGTCGTTTTGGTACCATTCGAAGTAAAGAAAATAAAGCTATCTGTATCTATCTATATCTATCTATATCTATCTATATCCATCTATATCTATCTATATCTATCTATATCTATCTATATCTGTATCTATATCTACATCTATGGCTGTATCTATATATCTATATATCTATATAATTATCTATATATCTATATATCTATAAAATTATCTATATATCTATATCTCTATATCTCTATATATCTCTATATATATATATATCTATATATCTCTATATATCCCTATATATCTCTATACATTCCTAAATATCTATATATCTATATCTATATGTATATCTATACATATCTATATATATATATATCTATCTATGTATCTATATATATCTATATATATTTATATCTATATATCTATATCTATATCTTTCTCTATATATATATATCTATAAATAAATATATATATATATATAGATATAGATATATATATATATATATGTATATATATATGTATATATATAGATAGATATATACCACTATATATCTATATATCTGTTTTTATCTATATATCTTTATATTTATATATCTTTAAATCTATATATCCATATATCTTTATATATCTATATCTATATCTATATCTATATCTATCTAAAAGGTTTGCATTATCATCGGGATGATATTCAAACCCCAAGCCAACCCTGAACCAAACCTTATATAAAGAGATCTTAAACCAACTCGATGATAACATCAAATGAAACTATTGTGCATCGTTGTGCCTTAACCTACATTCCACATGTTTCCGAGGTGCATGTCGTGTAGTATATACACCTTGAGTATCACATTCAACCCAGCACCTTGCATGTGAAAATAGGTGTTTCCAATCTGCTTTTGTGGGGGAGGCGCTGCGCCCTCCCCCCCAATCCCCCCCTCCCGTTTTTTTTAATTTTAAATTCAAACTTGCACACATTTCAATACACTAGTTTGGTTAGACTATATGTATATATATATTATATATATTATATATAATATATATATATTATATATATATATATACATATGGTTGTTTATATACACAGTTTTCATCCCAAAAAAAACTGTAAATAATCATGTGCATGCATATGCGTCCACATAAGTATAGTTATTTATATGTACATGTTGTATCCCTAAATAACCCCTAATCCAACCCAACCCTAAATAGACTAAATAGACCTTAAACAAATCTAGAATAAACCATTAACCAACCCTAAATAAACCCTAAAACCAAACCCTGCAGATATATTAATTACACTTGTAAATACATTGATCTACATATGCATATAGTCATGATTAGTCATGCATGTATACCTCTATACATCTACAGTTTATAGTTTGCACATCATGTATCTCCAAAAATCAATGAACACTTCGGAAAAAAACAATGAAAACAATGTAGAAATCAATGAACACTTTGGAACAATGAATGAAAACCAGTAAAAAATGAATGAACACCGTACAAAAATTGAAGAAAAACATAGAAAAATCCATTGACAAATGGAAGAAAACCACGGAACAATCGAAGAAGACCATAGAGCAATTGAAGAAAACCATGGAATAATTGAAGAATACTATGGAAAAATCGACGAAAACCATGGAAAAATCCATGAACATCTTGGCAAATTCCATGAAAATCATGGAAAAATCAATGAACACCATGGAAAACTCGATAAGCACCATGGAAAAAATCATGAAACCACTGGAAAAATTGATGAACAGTGCGAATGAGAGATTTTAGCTACAAAATGCAGCAAATGAGAGATTTTAGCTGCAAAAAACAAGGAAGGGAGCCTGGACGACAAAAAAAAATGCAAAAAAACAAAAACAAAATGCCAACTTAATTTCGCGCCCCGATACTAATGTGGGAGAGGTTAGGTTTGCGGTACAGCTTGGAAAGACGCTCGAGTTGGTGTTTCTGGTTAAGTGGGTGAGGTACCAAGGAGCTAGAGGGTTTGGTATGTTTGGTTGGGCTAGGTGGCGACGCCACAGATGTTCGACATCAGCAGTGATTTGGACGGCGAGTCCGAGGTGCTCATACCGGGCAAGTCCTTATTTCATGGTATTTCCATGTTTTTCCCATCAGGGCAAAGGCAAAACATGATATATGGACTCTGTCCAGTCCACAGGTTGGTTGCAGGTGAAGAGTGCGTAGCATGGTCTTGGTAGTCAATGGATGTCAATGGTATATATATATATATGTATAAATAATGATGGTCAGTTGTGGTCGTATCTCAACACTCTATGCCATGATGAATGACAGAGCTGCAAATTGTTGGTCATGTGCATCGGTTTCCAAGCCTCTGGAGGAGCCGGTTTTGCCGGAGATGCCCTTCGCTCCCCCTGAGGGGGATTACGGCGACGACAGTGAGACGACGGAGAACCTAGAGCAGTTCGGACACGAGCAGGGCAGGGATACATTGGTATCTACTTCTGGCTCCAGTGGATCTTCGTATCAGGCAGGGCAGATGTTCATGGGGACTTGGCGGCCCAAAGGCGGTATACGGTATAGGTATACTATACTAATCTATACTACCTGTTTTTTTTTGAAATTTTTAGACCCCGTATGGGGCGGGGAACCTGTATCAACAAACCGGTGAAAAGGGATGAGAGAGGGTTTTCACTGTGCTCAATTGCCATTTCCGACTTTAGGGGTTTGGAAAGGAAATCTAATGAAGGCCAGCAGAAGGCATTTGGATTTTGGACCTTGGTGCATAAACGAGAATCGTTACTTCAATTTATTTCATATTATTTCCATTTTTTCCCATCAAGAAGGAACATGAAGGCCAAGCAAAGTTCACAGGTTGGTTGCAGGTGAAGAGTGCGTAGCATGGTCTTGGTAGTCAATGGATGTCAATGGCAATGATGGTCAGTTGTGGTCGTATCTCAACACTCTATGCCATGATGAATGACAGAGCTGCAAATTGTTGGTCATGTGCATCGGTTTCCAAGCCTCTGGAGGAGCCGGTTTTGCCGGAGATGCCCTTCGCTCCCCCTGAGGGGGATTACGGCGACGACAGTGAGACGACGGAGAACCTAGAGCAGTTCGGACACGAGCAGGGCAGGGATACATTGGTATCTACTTCTGGCTTCAGTGGATCTTCGTATCAGGCAGGGCAGATGTTCATGGGGACTTGGCGGCCCAAAGGCGGTATACGGTATACTATACTAATCTATACTACCTGTTTTTTTTTGAAATTTTTAGACCCCGTATGGGGCGGGGAACCTGTATCAACAAACCGGTGAAAAGGGATGAGAGAGGGTTTTCACTGTGCTCAATTGCCATTTCCGACTTTAGGGGTTTGGAAAGGAAATCTAATGAAGGCCAGCAGAAGGCATTTGGATTTTGCAATTTTACAATCTCTGAAGGGAATAGATCAGACTGATCAGACATAGAATCTGTCCAGTTCACAGGTTGGCTGCAGGTGATGTGGCCAATTTTTTTGTGATGTTGGAAAAACTGTATTTGCTAAAACGGTGGGGGCCTGGCTTTTCTCTTGATACAAATGGCACTTTTTCTATGGTTGACATTGATTTCTGACAGTTTTCTCCATTTGAAGTTCACTTGTGTGTCTTTTTCCAGGTGATCCCAGAGGCATGGCCCAGTAGGGTTGCGAGATTTCAACAAAGCTGTGAATTCCTGCTAATTTGTTGGGCGGTATGTCGAGTTTTGTGCACCAGATGTTTGTTTCTTTTCAGACTTTGCAGAGATCATTCTCCAAGAATGCTTTCAGGTACGAAGACCATGTGTATGGATTCACGGCATTCCATTTGAAGCGAAGACCGAGGCCGTTTTTTTTGCTCATTTTATCATCCATGTCGGAGACTTTGGTTGTGTGTCCAGTGGTCAGGACTTTGACACTGGGTGGGAGTACCTCTATGACGGTCTGGTTTGCCCTGAGGCGGGTGCTCTTTGAAACGATTTTAGGATCAGAGTCAGCACAGAAGGTGGTATTCCTCAGATTTGGGGAGCTTCCCGAGTCAGAGTTTTCCAACTAGAGATACCAGAGTAGAGAGTTTCTGGTGGGTGTTGATTGATGTGGATGATGTTGTGTTTCTTGAAGGGCTGTTGGTCTGTAGCCTTCAAAGGCGGCATAAGATTCATCATGTTTGCATTGTGTCGTTTTCTGGGTTGTTCCAGCATCTTGCGAAGTCTGCACCCTTTGGATCCTGTTGGTGAGATTTCCTTGCTGGCACCATTGCCACATCCTGCAAGGCAGAGACAATCACGAAAGTTCAGGAAGCAAGGCATGATGCAAGGCATGATGCAAGCCATGGAGTGCTTTTGTTGATTGTGCATAGATTCATGTTTGAATCAAGAATGGATTCGGTAGTTTGTGCGTTGGTGGTCTCAATCATACCAAAGACTGAAGATGTGAAACTTGAAAGAGTGCAGGCTGGCCGAGGACACTCTCTGTCCTCAGTTCCTTTGCAGAATGATGGCAGACTGAAACGCTTGGTGTGACTTCGAGGGCTTGAGACATTCGAAGTCTTTGTTCGAACATGAGTTCCTTCCAGTGTAGACAGATCATCATCATGAGCAGCGAGAAAGAACTTGCTTCTTTCTGAGGATATTTCTTCATCTCCTCGGCTTCCTACCTGTGACTCAACTTGTGAAGAGCGCCGCAAATTTTGGTGTAGAAAAAACAACCGGCCGTCTGTCCTTCAACATTTTCTTTGGCAGTTTCTTTGGCGGTTTTGTTCAGTTTTCCTCTGCTTTCCACAGATATGAATGCTGCGACTTGGTGTGATGTGCAGACCGAGCCCAGGTGACCGAAGTGTTAGAGTACAACCTTCAAGCAGTGTCACGCAACTTTTCAAGTCGCGAGGCACGAAGGATTCCAACATGTTCCGACGCAAGCCGGGAGGGACATGATGAGATCCTTCTCTGCATTCTGACTGTCAAAAGCATCCAAGCTTGAACAGGTTTGGATGACCCACTTGTTCAACTTGATGGATTTCGATTCATTCCAGCCTGTCACTGGCATTCCGCCACTTGGCTGCATTGCGGGGAATTTTCTTGCTAGTTATATAGTTGTTTTGTCTTTGCCCTTCTTCGTCACCAAGACAATCTATGAGGTCGGAAGGTGTCAGAGGTTTTTGCTTGTGGAAAGAAAAGATAAATACTGCATGAGCTCCACTTTCTCGTTATGTCTCTATCCCTTTTGAAATTTGCTTTTGGCTCACTTTCTTTCGCTCGTTCGATTTCTCTCCTTCCCGTTGCTGCCCCTTTCCCTAGCTTTCTTTCTGCGTTTTCTTTCTTTGGTCCCTTTCTTCTTCATGGAGTGAATTGAGCAAGAGTTTCCCTATGCATAAGTGAGGGTAAAGAACAAAAATGAGCAAAATATCCACAGCTCCCAGCTCGCAACCATCAGCGTGGCTATTACTATGTGAAGGTGGCCATTCCAAGGGCCCAAGACTTTGCTGCGCAGTGTGCATGTCGTGTGAATATCTAAGTTTCTTGGCAGGCGCGGCAGTCAGACGTGTCTTGTGTTGCCACTTGTTGTGTGAACCGTGTTGTCGGGCGGCGCAAAGGAGAAAAGACACCTGGGCCGTTGTCACGTCCATGTAGCATGGTAGGCGTACCATTTAGGACATGTTGCCTTGAACGTCAACCACTTCCCTCTTTGACACAACCGTGCAGGTGCGTTTCACAGCAGCTATCATTTTGATATATTTTGATTCATTCTTTTCTGCCAGGTGCAGTAGGGACATATTCACGTGACCTTCCACTGCTTCCTGCCTTGTCATTCCTGTGCGGACGTGCTTGATAGCTCATCATACTGGTATCATAGTATATCCATGTGTATCCTCGTTTTCAAGATGAAGGGGGGGGAGTACTTCAACGAATGTGTTATTTCGGCGGAAGAGTGTTGAGGAGGAAGGTTGTCCTTCAAGAGTCTCGCAAAGCGAGTTCCACGAGTGTTTGCAGTGCATTTTGTGCCCAGGACGGCCCCTGTGTGGCATCCAATTGAAGAGTTTTCGGCTTGTTTCCGCATTGCTGCCAAGTGCACAGACCAGTCTTTGTCCACCAGAGAGAGAATTACTTCTCCTCCTGTAGCGCGATTTCGCGCCGAAGCTTCAGAAGGCTTCCAAGGTGCGGGTGCTTTCGGGCGGATCTGCGCTGAAATTGCTTAGCACCAAGAAATGTTGGTGATTCCCGCAATCATCAGTGATCAAATCAGGATTGAAAGGAGACATATCCGGAAAATGCACAGAAGGGATCAGCAGAGTGTCCTTTGAGTGGTGCAATGATGTGCAATGTTACATTATTTATATACATTTGTTTTTGACTCTGTTTGCTCCTGGAATTCGTGTGTTGCTTGCCCTGGGAGGCTGCTTCCAAGCCTTATGCGGCCCGTGGGCTAAGAAGCTCCAAGGCAATTATCTTGCACATGTCAAGTTGGTGAGGAAGAAGGGGGACGCTCGTTTCTTAGGAGACCGTTGAGTCAAGACGCAGGCAGTTTTTGCCACCAAGTCTGCATTTGTATGATAGTACTACTGTATATGGTATGGGGATTTTGGGTTGCCTGGTCAGATTACCAAAAGGCAGCGAAGCTTGACTCACCTAACAAGTCTACCTCCAAGTTGATTGACAGCATGCACAGACTTTAGTAGACCAGCAAACCGCTGAATGTGATGATGTCTACGCCAACGCGACAAATGCGGACCCAAAAGACAAGCACGCACTGAGCAGGATTTTGGAAGCTTGCAAAATCACGATGTTCAAAGAAAGAATTGCAATGTAGTTATCGAGTTCTTCAGAAATTGATCAATGTCCTTCTGCAATTGGCTCAGACAACGGAAATCGGGACGGAAATCTGCCAAATCCACGTCACCATGGATGCCATGATGGAAGTGGCCACCGATGTGATCCAGGAGTTAGCCGCCGCCGATGTGATCCAGGAGGCAGACAACGAACACACGCGGATACTCAGGGATGTTGTCTTGTTAGTTTTCACGAATGCCAGCTTGTGCTAGCTGAAGTTGCTCTTTATTAGTAAGGCGACGGATTTTGCTGATAGGATTTCTTGCTAGTTTTAATGGTTCAATCCACCCTTTGGATATTTTGTATAGTTGGTGAATCCAGCCAAGCTTTCCAGCAGATGGTGATGCTGGCCCTTGGCAACCCTGTAAGAGCCAGTGGATAGGCTGCCAGCAAAGATCTTGAAGATCAACTCCGAGCAAGTCAAGAAGAGGTTCAACATGGTTTTTCCTGAAAACAGAAACTCCCCCCGCCCCCTAAAAAAAACCAGATGGTTGGTTGAGGACTTCACTGTCCTCATATTGTAAGGAGCATGAAATGCGGTATGCCCCATTTTTGCACAAACTTTATTTGGAAGCGTCCCTGCCTGCCTCACAAATTGTAGCTTGCTGGATCAGAGGTGCACCAGAGTATATCCTGTTCGGGCTTGCACGGTCCACAAGTCATCCTTGACAGGCAGCGGCCCATTTGAAAGCCCAGCTCTCTGGGGATCAGGTGCAATGGCCGAATTTGCGGTTCATTTTTTGTCTCAAATGACAAGATTCTGTAGCATAAATGGTGGCAATGGCCTGAAGGAATCATGATATGCCGGATTGGCGCATCACCGTATCGTTTCATGCGCATAGAAGGACATACCAGATCATACGAGGATTTTTTCCCCTTATTTTTTTTGCTACCATAACGCGCTGATTCAGTGCTTATATGCCCAGGAAATGCAGTGTGTGCATAGCCAATTTACACCTTAGTGTATAGCTATCATAAATTCCCATTCCTTTAGAACTGGTTCTTGAAACCCAAGGTAAGATCGATGATAAACATCCATGTCCAAACCGAGGCAAAATGCCACAAACGAACAAAAACAATACAAGGGTTGCAAACCAGTGATTCTGCGGCAGATCTTGGGAAGCTTACCTGCCAGGCCTGTGTTCGGCTCAAAGAGAAATTGGCGGAGATGGAAGCAGCCAAGGCCACCGCAGAGGCGAGGGCATCTGCACGGACACCCTGAGAGAACACAGTACTGTACTTGGACAAATTGAGACACGTGTTGAAACAGAAACACACATCCGGTTCAATTGGAATTTTCTACCTTCATCTTTGTTTCCCTGGGAATCAAACAGAATCAACTTGCTTCCGGTGTTGGTGTTGGTGTTGGTGTTGTTGTTGTTGTTGTTGTGGTTGTTGTTGTTGTTCCAATGAATGTTGTATCATCGTGTGGCATCACCATGTTTGTGAGTGGTTTTCGACTGGTCGGGGTCACTTGTCAAACTATGAGTGAGTACAGATCATTCTGCCTGTACGTGCCAGTCTGCCAAGACAACCTTGGAGGAGAGGCTAAGTGAGAAGAACGAGGCCCACCCCCAGCTACACGACCTGACAAGATTGCTGGATAGGGTCCTAGTCAAAGCGATGTGCACTACTTCAGCAAGTTCAACACTCCACCAATGCCGATGTATGCATTTTTCCCAAAGGAAGTGACTAAGTGAGTGTCTCCAAGAAAACGGTGACAGCTTCCAGGTGATTAGCGACCTTCGAAGGGAACTTCACAAATTAGAGGTGCAGCGACTCGCACCACGCTTGTCAAGCTGGCGGATGCTCGCAGTAAGGAAGTGCAAGGTACAGGTACAGTAGTGGCACTTTCCCTAAACGTCACAGAGTTTTGCCAGGCGGATAAGGACAAATCTGAGCGTTTGACGATCTCACTGAAGAAGGAGGCCAAGCATTTTTCAATGATGGAAAGGGGGATACCTTGGCCTACTGGTAGTGTTCTACGTTTCATCAATGCGAGGTAAGACAATCAGCAAATGACATGGGTTGCCGGAGCAGAAACCTTACGAATTGGATTCACATGCTGGGTTTGCAACTCCTGTGGAGAGGCAGATGAAAAGGAGAACCAGCTGAAGCAAAAGCTGGAAGTTGCACAGGTGGCAGGGTGAGACAGTTTCATGGCCCTATGACTCGCTTACAGCTTGAACATACTTGAACATACTTGAACCATATTATTGAAATATCAACGGAAAAATGTGCTTGCTGCATCAATGAATATCACATGTTTAAACAATTACACCATAATACGACATCTGTTTTTACAGGATGGCAATGGCAATTGGATTAATGATTATGACCCCTAACTCCAAGTGGGAAAACTCTCTAACCCAGGATCATCCCACCCTGCAAATTTGACTGGTTCAGCATTTTCTTAGATGAAGCAGCTTGAAGGAGGCCCATTGTCAGCACAACAGGTCGCCAAAAGATAAAATGCACATAATTTTCCTGCGACATGTTATGTGAGTGTAGAATAGCGCAATGACTACCATATTTTAAACTGTATACGCATGGCTCATATCAAAACATTGTTTGATGGTAGGCAACACTACTGTGTTTCCTTTCAAATTTACGCAAGAGATTATATCTCTGATGCGTCCCCCTGGTGGCCCTGAACCAAATACCTGCTCAGCAATTTTGTGGGTTTTCAGTATCCAGCTTTCAAAACCCACAAAATCAACACACAAAAATACAGAAACCCACTACATGAGCAACACAAAATCTAATCCTGATACGCTGATTGCAAGTTTCCTGCTCCCCTGGAAAGTAACCAACCATTCGACCGGGAAAGAGCAACCAAACAACCATAAAAAACCCAGTGCGTGAATACTGCCTGTGCTCCAATGCCTCCAAAACCCCACGGGGTTTATCACTCTTCCAGTGACAATTTTCGCAAAAAGTCAAAAAGTCAAACAGTTTTCGACTTTTCGATTTTTTCGATTTTTCGAGGGCAAAAATCGTGATTTTCACGGTGTGACCGATACCAGCCAGAAGCGCACACAGGATGATTTAGGGTACCCCTATTTCAGGAAACGTCCATATAGATATGATTGATCAATTATGTTATAAGGTATGTAGCAACCCCTAAACGGTAGAATTCGACAACGTCCTGCAATTTGACCATTTCAGCATTTGCTGGGAATTACTTGCTGTGCTGTATGTGAAACAGCAAGGGAAGTGGAGACCCATGATGTTTGCCTCAGAAGAACCACATTTTGCCTGAAATAGGCAAATGTCCGCAAATCTGACTTGCCCATACTTTCCCTACAATTTTTCTTTATATACAGGAACCCCTCAATTCCTTGGTGCAAAAAGAAATTGCAAAACTCTGGTTGAATCATAATTGTTCCCCCTGTGATGGTGATGTTCGGCGCGCTCCATCCCCCATTGAACAAACCCACAGCATCGTTTCAGTTTCATGAGTCAAACATTGTGTTCTTAAGATATGTTACATATGTTCTTACGATATGTTGGGATCCATAAGTTTCTCAAAGTGAAATTTGGATTCAAAAACTCTTTGGGTGAATGCACCACTTGGCAGGGCAAGATAAAAAAGGTGTGTCTCTGTTGATTTCCCTCCTTTGAATTGGGATGTTAATGGATGATTTACCAATTGTCCACCAATTCAGCACATGTTTTTCCGTCACAATTTCACGGAAAAAGGGAAAATTTACAGTGATTTTGCTGAGAAGTCCCTCTACGGTGCGATCACCAATAGTGAAGTCTCTGCTAGTAATTCCTAATTTTTATGTTGGTTGGCACATTTAGTGGGCTTCAATAGTGAACCAAAGATATTTAGAAGGTATGAACAGGTCCGATTTACCGCTATTTTAGGAGATTACTTCCGAATCTTTTTTGGTGTCTCCTCCAGAACAGGCTTTGAACCAAGCCCAACAAAAACACCGTGCAGAAGTGAAGGAGTTAATGGATGAGGTGCGGTGGTTCCACAGGAAGACACTCTTGAGCGTAAGAGGGTTGATAAAAGGATTCCTTTGACGATGCTGGTTCAAAAATGATCGAGACATATTGAAACCTTGCGAAGAAATTGACTCTAGGGTTTTTGAACCTGTTCTGCCATGCTCTGCCTTTCCAATCCCTTCCAGGGGTTGCTATAAAGTTCATAGTCGTTGGGCTTCAGCGCCATTGACGGCGCCGGCCTTGCAGGTGGCGTTGCTGGCTGAAAAAAATGAGCGCCTCAGAGAGGATTGGTGACAACGGTTGGGGCAACGGTTGCTGCAACTGGTTGGGGAATCCTAAAATTTGATGATTCATGATGATTCATGGATTATGACGGGTATGATTCTGGAATATAACTCTATGTTCATATAAGTTGATACTACCCCATGTTCTTGGGTTGGCTCTGCAATCAGTGATGTATATAGACATTATATGTGTGGATTGGCAAGGGGTTGCCACACAGGTCTAGATTTAGGTAGTTTCTTGTTTCTTGCGGAGTAAATGTAATTTACTGTCCCCCCAACTAACAAAAACTCTACCAAGTACGGGGTTGGAAGATTAGTTCGCACTGGGTACTAGAAGGTCATTATTTTCAGAGCCTATGTTATATAATTTACTGGAGGGATCTGGAGGCTGCTGTTTTTCTTGTGCTACTACAATCAGTTGTTAGATAATGTCAACCCTGGACTAATAAACCGGGTCCCCATTGGAATTTTAGTTCGAGCATCTTGTTCTTTTCTTTTGGATTCCAGAGCCTATCGATGCAGGAGAACCTGTCCCTTCGCTGTTTGTACAGGGCATGTATCCCTGTGGATCCCGCGTGGCGCCCCAGGACCCAATGGAGGCCATCCAAATTGGACCACGTTAGAATATTTTAGTATTATACCCTATGGTTTTGGGAATCCACCATTTACCCCCTACATGTAATCAGACATATGTGTCAGCCTCTGCCATGTTCGCCCAAGGTCCAGGTAAACACTGTCAGTCTTTGACACATCGCGCGCTGTCAAAAGGTCGCAAAATCAAGCCTTCCAAGGACCATCTTTGCAACCTACTTGTTGGGTCTTTGCACGGTGTTGTCCAAAGAGTCATGCTGGTCATTTGGCTTTGCGTATGTTGAACCTTGTGCGCAGCTGTCATGTGGCTGAATTGTTTGTCGCAAGGGTCTCCAGAATGCTGAATTAATGAGCGCAACCCAAAATTCCACACCAAACTTTACTGAATGAACTGTCTTTTCAGGTTCGATGATTTGAAACAAAGTATTGCGGCATGAAACACAGGTATGACATTAGAGCTTGACTGTGTAGCAAGGCTTCTTCAAAAAGATCATTGCCATTTGACTCAGCTGGGAACGGCAAAAAGACGTGTTCCTGGTTTGTGGACTCCAACAGGACTCCAACATGCCATCATTGTCATAACATAAGTGAAGTGTGCATCGAACGAACCATTCCAATCAAAGCAAACATTGTGAGCCATGGATGGTCGGTTCGTGAGACCCTGAGCGAGCGCAGATAAACTAAAGTTGAATACGAATTGACATTGACATTTGTTTCATTCCAGACACAATTTCCTTTGCTATTTTCAACGGTTATTGGTCAATTCTGCAAGACATTCTGACATGGCATGAGGTTGTGGTGTAAGTTTTGCAGTTTTGCACCTTTGATTTGGAGATATTTGGAGTCTCCGAACGATGTTGAACCATGAATTTGATTTGGACAAACGACACGTAAAACTCTCCAAGATGCAAAACCTATGCATCGGCAAAGATGGCACATTGAGTTGCTGCGCAATTTAGGATGATCTCCTACTTGGGCTGGCTGAAAAACACAAGGGGATTGAGGCGTGTTCAGTAATGATGTTTTGAAATCGGACTCAACATCACAGATGCAAATTGTGTTTGAACATTTCCGCAAGAACCTGCTGCACACGCTTATGACGTTCTTGGAACGCCAATCAGATTTGTTCCACGTCAAGGAGCTGAGTGGAGATTTGGAACTGTCAGTGTGTGAGTCTTCCAATTTTATAACCTTTCGTTGCGAATGTGTTGTTGGTTGGAATTTTCATTTCCACAGACTTTCAAAATTTTGAGGCCGAACAATTTGAGTCGGATATTTCCTAGAATTACTGTAGTTGTTTTTTTTTGAATCAAAAACGGTGTAGACGACTGTATTCCTCATGGGTTCGATTTGTTCAGTTTGCTTCGGATTTTTGTGGATAGGTGTCTCAGAAGAGCGACGGCGATGCCAAGGTTTTAGGGAGGGTGAGGCAACTCCTGCCAAGGTTTTGATGTTCTCCACTTCCGTCAAATTTTCACCCTTTCAATACCAATCGTGACGCCAGAGTTTTATGCCGGAAATTTGAACAGAGGTAAATCGGATGTACAAACCGAGATTGCCAACCCCCAAAAAAGATGAAACAACCACAACTGCACACCATCGGTGGAATTTTTGTTTGCCATGAAGTGATCTGAACGTTTCGGCCATATTTAGCACTTTTCCCCCTTCATTTTGGGTTGTGCTGGTGTGCCAGGCGGAAAAAAATGCTGCGGAAACAGTTCAGTGAATTTCAGGTTTGGGCCAAATTTACTTCAGAACACTCGTACAAATGTGTTTTCTCATTTGTGCAGGCTAGCAGACTGCTCAATTGGTTTGTGACAGCAGTCAAGGCAGATATTGTGACAAAACATTATATGCTTTTATGTGGGTATCAAGGTGATACAAGCCGTTGCAAACTATAATCAAAACATAGAGACTCTTCAGGCTAGACTCATATTCTTCCAAGAGTGTCACCATGGGTAGGGAGATATTTGCCTTGTTTTGTCTCATGGGAAACACGAATTGCACATCCTGGCTTTTTTTTTGTGAGGCTCGATACTTATGTAGCACCTTTCCAAAGACCGCGAATGTTTCCAGGGAAGATCTGAGGGAAAAAAGGAAGGCAGAAAGGAGTCAAGGAAAGAAAAAAGGAAAAGAGAAGGAGCAATTCAGGAAGAACAAACAGGGGAAAGTAAGACAGGCAGACAAAGAGAAGGAAAACAGAAAAATGAAGGAAAAACAGAAAAAACTTGACGCAAGGGAATGAAGAAGGAAGGAACAGCAAAAACATGATTCAGTGTTGACAAAAAAATTACTCGAAGACCTTCACTCATCACCCCATGAATGGGGAAGTAAGGCACTTTGAATGGACCATGAGTTCCCACACCCAAAACCAAAGGAAATCAAAACACCAAAACGTTTTCACTCGGTGCTCACCGTTATAAGCGCACGTGGTCCGTTGTTTCTCGCCGAGTATAATATTTTTCATTGCTTATGTCTTCGACATCAAGCAAAAGTTGAAACAGAGGATCCCAACGCAGTCATTATCCATGCGCTGCTGCAGCGGGCTCTTTGCGCTTGAAAACGGATTTCACAGCTACAGTGTTTAATTTTGCAAAACGCAACGAACTATTTCCTCCAGTTGCAACTCACCGCAGCATACTCTGACTAGTGACTAGTGGTTTGAGGCGGTTGCAAGACATAGCTAAAAAGGGTAGGTGGGCTTTTGTTTTCCTCCTGATTGGAACCGGATATCAACCTGTGAAGAGCTACAACAATTTACTGTACACAACCGGAGACATTCGCCATGATGTCAATGGCGCATGATTGGCGTCCATGTACATGGTGGGTAAATGCCCAGCTGGAAGCATGGATGCTTCTTGGCCGAGTATTTTCTTGGTATGGTTTATTCATGTTTATTCAGTGGATGTGAACATCTCTTTGTCTCCTTATCGCCTGCAGTCCTTCTGTGTTTTGAGGCATATCCAGCCTGCTGTTCAACTTTTGCTTGTCGCACAGCTGGCACAGCGGCTTGCTGAGCAGCTGGATTGCGAAACGGGCAACTGCCAGTTTCCAGTCTTTGAGGCCAGCGTGCCTTCGTCAGACTCCCAGCTTCAGAAACTCCTGTGCCAGAGAAGTCAGTTAAAGTCTTGGTGTTTCACATTAGAATCATGTTCAGAATGCAAGGTGTTCAACGCCTCGACGAATGTTTGAAAGAGCGTGGAACTCAGGAAGTTGCGGAATTATCAGATAGTTAACATGACCTTTCAATCCTTGTTCCAGTCTTCGTCGATTCCTTGTTACTTTTTAGATCATCTGAGCCCTCACACATTTCTCCTTTTGACTGATGAAGACAAATAGTCATGGGCGAGATTGCCAGTGAAAGTGAAATGAATCCGACTCTTCAAAATCCTGGATATTTTGACACCAGCCCCCCAACGGCTGATGTCCACACCATTGTTTGAACCTGCTGTATTGCATGCCTTGTCTGTGGGATCCTTCCCACTGAGGACCTTTTTCCAGTGGCTTTCACAGAGAAGGAGTCTGACGCAAACAAGAACAGGCTTTGGGCCGGCGGCTTCAAGATCAAAACTGACTCTTTGTGACCATGTTTTGGTGAGAAAATTACCAGACACCGAATTTCAGTCAACGGCATATTGGAAGACATTCGAAGACCATTTGTGACATAATTGTGAGTCAAGCAGCTGGCTCATGCAGCATAACAACTGCGTCCCTTCCGAACTGCGTTTCTTCCGTGCTCTATGGCTGCCGGGTTCAGGCGAGACTCATGGGTTACGAAGGTGCCTGAAGAGGGAGATGATTTGGAGGAGTTTGAGGAGTCTGACGAGTGTCAGTGGTTCGATGACGGAGTTGGTGGCGTTGCCCAGGCCATTTGCACAGTTCATGCAAGAGTCCAGTGTGGCGACTGTTCTCAAGTTTTATCAATGGCTGTAGTATGCTGTAGTCTTGCATTCCAAATCCAACTTAAATGTGGCTGCGATGCAATGCTTGATCTATCGCCATCAAGCCACGAGATCAGTCAGTTGCCCGATATTCCGTGTGTTTTGGCTTTTCGTCTCCACGTTACTTGCATCATCTTGCATCTTTTGCTTGACCGACCCAGGCATCTACACAGCACTTGTTGCCCACGACCGATTCCAAGAATGATTCAGAGGTGCCGACATTGCGCTGTCCGCCACCTTGTTGATGAGGATGGAGCATCTTCAGTTTGTTCTGTGGCCAGTTGAGCATATTTGGCTCCGATCTTGGTTTTGAGTCAAAGGCGTTCCCAAATCTGGAGATAAAATCTAGAAATTGTGGCCAGAATATGAGTGTTGCTGTAGTAGCGTGTAGCAGCAGACTGGAATCAGTCGAATGACACGACAATGCTTTGTTCTGCTTAAGCCGTAGATTTTCAAATCGTGGTCTCGACCTGGGAAACGGCACAGGCACAGGAAAGGTTGCTCATGACTGACTCCGAGGAGAATCTGGAGGCGACGATATTAGGCTGTTAGGCTGTTAGGCTGTTAGGCTCAAGGAAGGTTCCATTTGATGCATTTTGATACAACATGAGCTGCCTCTATACATCAGGTAAATGCAGCGGTGTTGCAGATGTTGTATACACAACGGAGGTCAATTGTGCGAGGTGCATAGTTGCAAAGCAAATCTGAAGCTCAATGAAAGGATACAGCATACATAGCCTCTTTGTTGAGCCCAGAGGCATCTCCGACCTTTCACCATCTGATGCAGCTGTATTTGGGTAGTATTATAGTATTGGTTATTGGTGTTGTAAGAAAAGTAGACTATGACTATGACAGACAATGTCATACATTGCGAGAGTTCCGCTAGGCACCACTATACTATACTGTATTATATATATATTGTATACAATAGAGATAGGACACATGCATTTTTCTTCGGTCGTTTTTGGAACTGTTTTGTTGCAGACGGCTTCCAATTTTGGTTGGATTTGGAGGGGCACTGCATGTTGCACGTGTGACGACACTAATGTGGGAGAGGTTAGGTTTGCAGTACAGCTTGGAAAGACGCTCGAGTTGGTGTTTCTGGTTAAGTGGGTGAGGTACCAAGGAGCTAGAGGGTTTGGTTGGGCTAGGTGGCGACGCCACAGATGTTCGACATCAGCAGTGATTTGGACGGTGAGTCCGAGGTGCTCACACCGGGCAGGTCTTAGTCGAGATAGGAAAGTGACCCAAAATTCACCTGAATACACAAGTTTGAAAGGTAAAATGGGTGCCTTTCAGATCCTTTCAGAAACTTGAGCAAAGTTTGAGGTACAGCTTTGAAAAGCAAGCGAGTTGGTGTTTCTGGTAAAGTGGGTGATGTACCAAGGAGCTAGAGGGTTTGGATGGGCTAGGTGGCGACGCCACAGATGTTCGACATCAGCAGTGATTTGGACGGCGAGTCCGAGGTGCTCACACGGTGCAGGTCCTTATTTCATGGTATTTCCATGTTTTTCCCATCAGGGCAAAGGCAAAACATGATATATGGACTCTGTCCAGTCCACAGGTTGGTTGCAGGTGAAGAGTGCGTAGCATGGTCTTGGTAGTCAATGGATGTCAATGGTAATGATGGTCAGTTGTGGTCCTATCTCAACACTCTATGCCATGATGAATGACAGAGCTGCAAATTGTTGGTCATGTGCATCGGTTTCCAAGCCTCTGGAGGAGCCGGTTTTGCCGGAGATGCCCTTCGCTCCCCCTGAGGGGAATTACGGCGACGACAGTGAGACGACGGAGAACCTAGAGCAGTTCGGACACGAGCAGGGCAGGGATACATTGGTATCTACTTCTGGCTCCAGTGGATCTTCGTATCAGGCAGGGCAGATGTTCATGGGGACTTGGCGGCCCAAAGGCGGTATACGGTATACTATACTAATCTATACTACCTGTTTTTTTTTGAAATTTTAGGACCCCGTATGGGGCGGGGAACCTGTATCAACAAACCGGTGAAAAGGGATGAGAGAGGGTTTTCACTGTGCTCAATTGCCATTTCCGACTTTAGGGGTTTGGAAAGGAAATCTAATGAAGGCCAGCAGAAGGCATTTGGATTTTGGACCTTGGTGCATAAACGAGAATCGTTACTTCAATTTATTTCATATTATTTCCATTTTTTCCCATCAAGAAGGAACATGAAGGCCAAGCAAAGTTCACAGGTTGGTTGCAGGTGAAGAGTGCGTAGCATGGTCTTGGTAGTCAATGGATGTCAATGGCAATGATGGTCAGTTGTGGTCGTATCTCAACACTCTATGCCATGATGAATGACAGAGCTGCAAATTGTTGGTCATGTGCATCGGTTTCCAAGCCTCTGGAGGAGCCGGTTTTGCCGGAGATGCCCTTCGCTCCCCCTGAGGGGGATTACGGCGACGACAGTGAGACGACGGAGAACCTAGAGCAGTTCGGACACGAGCAGGGCAGGGATACATTGGTATCTACTTCTGGCTCCAGTGGATCTTCGTATCAGGCAGGGCAGATGTTCATGGGGACTTGGCGGCCCAAAGGCGGTATACGGTATACTATACTATATAATCTATACTACCAGTTTTTTTTAAAAATTTTAGGACCCCGTATGGGGCGGGGAACCTGTATCAACAAACCGGTGAAAAGGGATGAGAGAGGGTTTTCACTGTGCTCAATTGCCATTTCCGACTTTAGGGGTTTGGAAAGGAAATCTAATGAAGGCCAGCAGAAGGCATTTGGATTTTGCAATTTTACAATCTCTGAAGGGAATAGATCACACATAGAATCTGTCCAGTCCACAGGCTGTGGGTGATGTGGTCTATTTTTTTGCGATGTTGGAAAAACGGTATTTGCTAAAACGGTGGGGGCCTGGCTTTTCTCTTGATACAAATCGCACTTTTTCTATGGTTGGCATTGATTTCTGACAGTTTTCTCCATTTGAAGTTCACTTGCGTGTCTTTTTCCAGGTGATCCCAGAGGCATGGCCCAGTAGGGTTGCGAGATTTCAACAAAGCTGTGAATTCCTGCTAATTTGTTGGGCGGTATGTCGAGTTTTGTGCCTACACCAGATGATTGTTTCTTTTCAGACTTTGCAGAGATCATTCTCCAAGAATGCTTTCAGGTACGAAGACCATGTGTTTGGATTCACGGCATTCCATTTGAAGCGAAGACCGAGGCCGTTTTTTTTGCTCATTTTATCGTCCATGTGGGAGACTTCGGTTGTGTGTCCAGTGGTCAGGACTTTGACACTGGGTGGGAGTACCTCTATGACGGTCTGGTTTGCCCTGAGGCGGGTGCTCTTTGAAACGATTTTAGGATCAGAGTCAGCACAGAAGGTGGTATTCCTCAGATTTGGGGAGCTTCCCGAGTCAGAGTTTTCCAACTAGAGATACCAGAGTAGAGAGTTTCTGGTGGGTGTTGATTGATGTGGATGATGTTGTGTTTCTTGAAGGGCTGTTGGTCTGTAGCCTTCAAAGGCGGCATAAGATTCATCATGTTTGCATTGTTTCGTTTTCTTGGTTGTTCCAGCATCTTGCGAAGTCTGCACCCTTTGGATTGGTGAGATTTCCCTAGCTGCCGCCATTGCCACATCCCCGAGGCAGAGACAAGGACGAAAGTTCAGGAAGCAAGGCATGATGCAAGCCGTGGAGTGCTTTGATTGTGCATTGATCCATGTTGAATCAAGAATGGATTCGGTAGTTTGTGTGTTGGTGGTCTCAATCATACCAAAGACTGAAGATGTGAAACTTGAAAGAGTGCAGGCTGGCCGAGGACACTCTCTGTCCTCAGTTCCTTTGCAGAATGATGGCAGACTGAAACGATTGGTGTGACTTCGAGGGCTTGAGACATTCGAAGTCTCTGTCCGAACATGAGTTCCTTCCAGTGTAGACAGATCATCATCATGAGCAGCGAGAAAGAAGTTGCTTCTTGCTGAGGATATTTCTTCATCTCCTCGGCTTCCTACCTGTGACTCAACTTGTGAAGAGCGCCGCATATTTTGGTGTAGAAAAAACAACGGGCCGTCTGTCGTTCAACATCGTTCAAGAGTTTCCTTGGCATTTTTGTTCAGTTTTCCTCTGCTTTCCACAGATATGAGCGCTCTGACTTGGCGGCGATGTGCAGACCGAGCCCAGGTGACCGAAGTGTTAGAGTACAACCTTCAAGCAGTGTCACGCAACTTTTCGAGTCGCGAGGCACGAAGGATGCCAACATGTTCCGACGCAAGCCGGGAGGGACATGATGAGATCCTTCTCTGCATTCTGACTGTCAAAAGAACCCAAGCTTGAACAGGTTTGGATGACCCACTTGTTCAACTTGATGGATTTCGATTCATTCCAGCCTGTCACTGGCATTCCGTCACTTGCCGGCTGCATTGCGGGGAATTTTCTTGCTAGTTGTTTTGGCTGACGTCGTCCAATACGGCCCCGGGGAATTTGCTAATTTTTAGCAAACATGGGTTGGGGTGGGGTGGGGTGGGATGTTAACATTCATGGTACGCTGATGATGTTACGCTGCCCGTTGGGGTTGGGGTGGGGTGGGATGTTAACGTTCATGGTACGCTGATGATGTTACGCTGCCCGTTGGGGTTGGGGTGGGGTGGGGTGGGATGTTAACGTTCATGGTACGCTGATGATGTTACGCTGCCCGTTGGGGTTGGGGTGGGGTGGGGTGGGATGTTAACGTTCATGGTACGCTGATGATGTTACGCTGCCCGTTGGGGTTGGGGTGGGGTGGGGTGGGATGTTAACGTTCATGGTACGCTGATGATGTTACGCTGCCCGTTGGGGTTGGGGTGGGGTGGGATGTTAACGTTCATGTACGCTGATGATGTTACGCTGCCCGTTGGGTTGGGGTGGGTGGGGGGGATGTTTAACGTTCATGGTACGCTGATGACGTAGTATGCGCTGCCAGTGGGATGTTAACGTTCATGGTACGCTGATATGTTACGCTGCCCGTAGTATGCTGATGATGTTATGTTGCCCATTGGGTTGGGGTGGGGTGGGGTAGGATGTTAACGTTCATGGTACGCTGATGATGTTACGCTGCCCGTTGGGGTTGGGGTGGGGTGGGGTGGGATGTTAACGTTCATGGTACGCTGATGATGTTACGCTGTCCGTTGGGGTTGGGGTGGGGTGGGATGTTAACGTTCATGGTACGCTGATGATGTTACGCTGCCCGTAGTATGCTGATGATGTTATTTTGCCCATTGGGGTTGGGCTGGGGTGGGGTGGGATGTTAACGTTCATGGTACGCTGATGATGTTACGCTGCCTGTTGGGGTTGGGGTGGGATGTTAACGTTCATGGTACGCTGATGATGTTACGCTGCCCGTTGGGGTTGGGGTGGGGTGGGATGTTAACGTTCATGGTAGGCTGATGATGTTACGCTGCCCGTTGGGGTTGGGGTGGGGTGGGATGTTAACGTTCATGGTACGCTGATGATGTTAAGCTGCCCATAGTACGCTGATGATGTTACGCTGCCCGTTGGGGTTGGGGTGGGGTGGGGTGGGATGTTACGCTTGCGTCAGAGGGATGACAAACCCCTGCAGAGAAGAGTCAAGAAACAGGCCTTGCAAGACACCCACCGTGGCCGCAGTGTCAGAGATGTGTTTTCCTGTAAGTCTAGATATTTTCTGATTGTCTCGAATTCATATGAATATGTAGATATACATACATATATATATATATATGTGTGTGTGTAACATCTGAATAGATGTAAAACTTCTTCTCTCTCTTTCTTCCTTTGTCCTCTCCCTTTCTTAATCTAAATTTAATGCAGGGGGACTGGAGCCGATTTGCCTATCCAGTCCAACGAAGCTATGGCATTTCGGTGGATGAGTGGTCTGATCAACCACTTGTACCTGCAAAACTCAGTTTGAACTGTTGACCAAGCTGTTACACTGCGTTGTTTCGAATCTACACGGTTGCCACAATTTGTATTGCCTGCATCATAACCTTCCTCAGTTTTTCGCCATCTGCATGTTTCAGGATTCAGTTCCTGCCGGATCATATAATGATCCATTCTTGTCTAGTGTGATTTCCATGGTGGCTCCGACATGGTGCCATGGAGCCATTGGAGGCAACCCTTTTCAGGGTGAGTGTTGACAGACTTGAATTCTGAATTCACACATTTTAACTTAGTAATTCGTTTAAGTAGAGGGCAACAATCAGCCTTGCGGTTTATCAGCCATTTTGTGATTTCCTGCTGCTCCGGCTGTCCCTTGAGATCCTCGTGAATTGCTTTCTTCACTGAGAGAAGCCATGCGGAACAACCAGAAACGTTCTTTTTTCGATCACTACAGCTCAAGCTTTGGAAGTGAAACATGTCCATGTGACGAGTTACAGGCAGGCACACGACTTTCAGGTGTGGTGATTCTTTCTTTTGATGGTTGTCTGGTGAGGTTAAACATTTTGTGCATCTAATTCGATGGAACTTGGAAGCTGTTTTATGCCATTGCGGCACGACTTGACCACGGTCCCGGTGCAGGGAATAATCGCACGACTCTTGGAATCTAGGGACTGAATCCTGTGGTTTAATTAACTGTTTTGGTTTCCTTACCTGTCATTAACTAGTCCCCCATTTGGTCCCTAATTCTCCCCGCGTGCCTCTCCGTAACGTGTTGTTGGGTTTAGGTGTGTGCGCTGTTTTTGTCAGGTCCGTTTCGCCGTGTAGGTTGGTTCTGGAGGTCCGTCTGTTCCCCTCCCCCCCCTGCGCTGTTTTTTGGCCGTTTGCCCGTCGTGTGTCCGCTTTTTTCTTCCTCTTGCCTTTCAGGGTTGACCCGGCTCCGGCCGGGTGTGTGTGTGTAACATCTGAATAGATGTAAAACTTCTTCTCTCTCTTTCTTCCTTTGTCCTCTCCCTTTCTTAATCTAAATTTAATGCAGGGGGACTGGAGCCGATTTGCCTATCCAGTCCAACGAAGCTATGGCATTTCGGTGGATGAGTGGTCTGATCAACCACTTGTACCTGCAAAACTCAGTTTGAACTGTTGACCAAGCTGTTACACTGCGTTGTTTCGAATCTACACGGTTGCCACAATTTGTATTGCCTGCATCATAACCTTCCTCAGTTTTTCGCCATCTGCATGTTTCAGGATTCAGTTCCTGCCGGATCATATAATGATCCATTCTTGTCTAGTGTGTGCATGTCTGCGTATGTCAGGTTACACACACACATATATATATGGATATATAAATATATGTATATATACTATTATATACTTGCATATATGTATATAAGAATCAGTGTACATGTCCAAGTATGCAAGGTATCTGTCTGTGTCTGGTCTATCATGTATGCAACACCATCCTAACATATTGCTGGCTTCCAAGCGTTTTTTTTTTTCCGCTGATTTGCACATGGACTTGTAAAACCCATTGGAAATAGCACAAAATGGACACAAAGTGCTGTAAAACGCAATGCATTTGAAAATGGCGCAAAATCCATGGTGACAGAAAGTGCCATAAGGGTTATCGAAATAGCAAGATGCTTGTTTTCAAAACAAGCAAAAACAGCGGGACCGCAATGGACGACGTTACCTTGTTTTGTCTTTGCCCTTCTGGCAAAATGAGGTCTTCAGGGCAGGTTGCTTGTGGAAAGAAGAGATATATAATTCATGTGGTTGACAATAGTAAACCACTCAATTCTTGATGATTTATACAACCCATTTTGGTGAAATTGGGGACGGTTCATCAATGTTTTGACCACATTACTGCATGACCCTCCACTTTCTGGTTACGTCTCTATCGCTTTTGAAATTTGCTTTTGGCTCACTTTCTTTCGCTTGTTCGGTTTCTCTCCCCGTTGCTGCCCCTTTCTCTTTCTTTTCGCGTTTTCTTTCTTTGGTACCTTTCTTCTTCATGGAGTGAATTGAGCAAGAGTTCCCCTATGTATAAGTGAGGGTATACGAAGATAAATGAGCAAAATATCCACAGCTCCCAGCTTGCAACCATCAGCGTGGCTGCTACTATGTGAAGGTGGTCATTCCAAAGGCCTCTGAATGGTGTTTGCATGGCCCAAGACTTTGCTGCGCAGTGTGCATGTCGTGTGAATATCCAAGTTTCTTGGCAGGCGCAGCAGTCAGACGTGTCTTGTGTTGTCACTTGTTGTGTGAACCGTCTTGTCGGGGCGGCTCAAAGGAGAAAAGACACCTAGGCCGTTGTTACGTCCATTTTGCATGGTAGGCGCACCGTTTAGCACATGTTGCCTTGATCGTGAACCACTTCCTGCTTTGGCACAGCCATGCAGGTGCGTTTCAAAGGAATCTTTTTGATATATTTGTGAGTAATTCTTTTGTGCCAGGTGCAGAAGGGACATGTTCACGTGACCTTTCACTGCTTCCTGCCTTGTCAGTCCTGCACGGACGTGCTTGATAGCTCATTATATTGTGTTCATATATGATCGTTTTGCAAGGTGAAGGGCAGTAGTGGTGAAGGCAGTACTTCAACAAACGTGTTATTTTGGTGGAAGAGTGTTGATGAACGTTGTACTGTAAGAGTCTTGCAAAAGCGAGTTTTACGAGCGCGTGCAATGCACTTTGTGCCCAGGACTGCCCCGGTGTGGCATCCAATTGAAGAGCTCTCGGCTTGTATACGCATTACTGCTCATTGCACAGACAAGTCTTTGTCCATGAGAGAGAGACTCTGGTCTCCTCCTGTAGTGCAATTTCGTGCCGAAGCTTCAGAAGGCTTCCAAGGTGCGGGTTCGTACGGATCTGCGCTGAAATTGCCTAGCACCAGGAAGTGGCGGCGATTCCCACAATCATCAGTGATCAAATCAGGATTGAAAGGAGACCATGCCGTGACTCATTGGACATATCCGGAAGGTGTAAAGAAGGGATCAGGAGCTTGGCCTTCAAAGTGGTTCAATGGTACATTTATGTTACATTTGTTTTTGATTCTGTTTGCTCCTGGAGTTCGTGTGTTGCTTGCCCTGGAGGCTACTGGCAAGCCCTATTTGGCCCGTGGGCTAAGAAACTCCAAGGCAAGTATGTTGCCTATGTCGACTCGGTGGTCAAGAAGGGGGACGCTCGTTTCTTAGGAGACCGTTGAGTTGAGAGGCAGGCAGTTTTTGCCATTGGGTCTACGTTGGTAGGATAGTATATTTATATTGTTTGTGTATGGGGATTTTGCATTGCCTGGTCAGATTACCAAAAATCTAACGAAGCCTGACTCACCTCAAAATTTGCCTCCAAGTTCCGTGACAGCGCGCGCAGACTTTGGTAGATGACCAGCAAACCGCTGAATGTGATGATGATGTCAGCGCCAACGCCACAAATGTGGGCCCAAAAGAAAAGCGCCTTCTGAACAGGTTTTTGGAAGTGCTAAATCACAATGTTCAAAATAATGCAAAGTAGTCATCGACTTCTTCAGAATTCGACCAATGTCCATCCGCAGCTGGCTCAGACGACTTGAGCAACTTTCCGAGTCTGCAAAACATGGCGCTTCTCACTGGTCTGGTCACAGTCGCAGAGGAAACGCAGGCACAAAAAGCAGAAACCAAGGACGAGGCTCGGATTCCACCTTCCGGTGCCTCTGACTCTATAGTTTTCACCGTACTAGTACTAGTATCATTAGAGGTTCATTATATTCAAATTCACTGCCATGGGCGTCGATTCTTGGGGAATCATACAGTCATCTCTTCCATCTTATGTTTCATTTTCATCATTGTAGCAGGGACAGAGGCCACTGTGTGAGATTTGCAACGCAAGATTTGCGTTGCTTGTTAGGCTGCTACATCGGAAATCCACGCCCAGCTGCTATCGGCCAAGGAGGAGGCAGTCACAACAATGTTAATGTATCAACGGTGGTATATGATAACATTTGATAACATATGATAACAATATGAGTTAATATGTACTATAATGGTAATCATGTTACATATAATTATAATCATATGTTGTTATACCATATGAGCGCAATTAGTCCGTTGTGTTTTACAACATGTCAATCTTTGTGCTTTGATTCACCTAGAGGTGGCATCTTTGAAAGCCCAGCTCTCTACGAATGAGGCAGACAGATCCGATAGTGTGAGGGTAGGATTTCACGGAAGTGAGGACAACTCGTGAACTCATGGATTTCCAAGTTGAAAACCCGTTTTTTGATTGTTTATGTAACCTGAGACCTGCCAAAGTTGCAGCAAGGGCAGCAGAGGATGCTCCCCCTGCGCAAACTTGCTGGATTCACTAATGACAGATGTTAAGCTTCCAAGAGATGGACGTTATTACGAAAGCCAGCCGGCTGGCTAGTTGTTATTTGCGAACGAAGTGAGAATAGGGGGTCTGGGGGGGGGGGGTAGCTGCCTCAAGGGACCGAAAATGGCGTAAATAGGTCGTGTTTTAGGGGGCTGCAAAGGATGCTTTTGCAGGGTAATGTACCAGGCGGCAAAACCGTGACCGTGGGTATCGATTCCCCCTAGGTCCGGTTTTCTGGACAGATGGATGGGCCAGCTCAGTGAAAAGTATATGGGTGAAAAGTATGTGCAAGAAGAGTTTCTGGGTGAAGATTCTCTGGGTCAAAAGTATATGGGTGAAAAGTATGCGCACGAAGTTTCTGGGTGAAGAGTCTCTGGGTGAAAAGTATATGGGTGAAAAGTATGTGCAAGAAGAGTTTCTGGGTGAAGAGTCTCTGGGTGAAAAGTATATGGTTGAAAAGTCTGTGCAAGAAGAGTTTCTGGGTGAAGAGTCTCTGGGTGAAAAGTATATGGGTGAAAAGTATGTGCAAGAAGAGTTTCTGGGTGAAGAGTCTCTGGGTGAAAAGTATATGGGTGAAAAGTATGTGCAAGAAGAGTTTCTGGGTGAACCGTCTGTGGGTGAAAAGTATATGGGTGAAAAGAATGTGCAAGAAGAGTTTCTGGGTGAAGAGTCTCTGGGTCAAAAGTATATGGGTGAGAAGTATGCGCACGAAGAGTTTCTGGGTGAAGAGTCTCTGGGTGAAAAGTATGTGGGTGAAAAGTATGTGCAAGGAGAGTCTCTGGGTGAAAAGTATATGGGTGAAAAGTATGTGCAAGAAGAGTTTCTGGGGGAAGAGTCTCTGGGTAAAAAGTATATGGATGAAAAGTATGTGCAAGAAGAGTTTCTGGGTGAAAAGTATATGGGTGAAAAGTATGTGTGAAAAGTATATGGGTGAAAAGTATGTGCAAGAAGAGTTTCTGGGTGAAGAGTCTCTGGGTGAAAAGTATATGGGTGAAAAGTATGTGCACGAAGAGTTTCTCGGTGAAGAGTCTCTGGGTGAAAAGTATATGGGTGAAAAGTATGTGCAAGAAGAGTTTCTGGGTGAAGAGTATATTGGTGAAAAGTATGTGCAAGAAGAGTTTCTGGGTGAAGAGTCTCTGGGTGAAAAGTCTGTGCAAGAAGAGTTTCTGGGTGAACAGTCTCTGGGTAAAAAGTATATGGGTGAAAAGTATGTGCAAGAAGGGTTTCTGGGTGAAGAGTCTCTGGGTGAAACGTCTGTGCAAGAAGAGTTTCTGGGTGAAGAGTCTCTGGGTGAAAAGTATATGGGTGCCATTATGTGCAAGAAGAGTTTCTGGGTGAAAAGTATATGGGTGAAAAGTATGTGCAAGAAGAGTTTCTGGGTGAAGAGTCCCTGGGTGAAAAGTATGTGGGTGAAAAGTAGAAGAGTTTCTGGGTGAAGAGTCTCTGGGGAAAAAGGATGTGGGTGAAAAGTATGTGCAAGAAGAGTTTCTGGGTGAAGAGTCTCTGTGTGAAAAGTATATGGGTGAAAAGTATGTGCAAGAAGAGTTTCTGGGTGAAGAGTCTCTGGGTGAAAAGTATGTGGGTGAAAAGTATGTCCAAAAAGATATTTCGGGTGAAGAGTCTTTGGGTGAAAAGTATGTGCAAGAAGAGTTTCTTCACCCAGAAACTCAGTCTCTGGGTGAAAAGTATGTGGGTGAAAAGTATGTGCAAGAAGAGTTTCTGGAAGAAGAGTCTGTGGGTGAAAAGTATATGGGTGACAAGTATGTGCAGGAAGTATATCGGTGAAAAGTATGTGCAAGAAGGGTTTCTGGGTGAAGAGTCTCTGGGTGAAAAGTCTGTGCAAGAAGAGTTTCTGGGTGAAAAGTATGTGGGTGAAAAGTATATGGGTGAAAAGTATGTGCAAGAAGAGTTTCTGGGTGAAGAGTCTCTGGGTGAAAAGTATGTGGGTGACAAGTATGTGCAAGAAGAGTTTCTGGGTGAAGAGTCTCTGGGTGAAAAGTATGTGGGTGAAAAGTATGTGCAAGAAGAGTTTCTGGGTGAAGAGTCTCTGTGTGAAAAGTATATGGGTGAAAAGTATGTTTCTAGGTGAAGGGTCTCTGGGTGAAAAGTATGTGGGTGAAAAGTCTGTGCACGAAGAGTTTCTGGGTGAAGAGTCTCTGGGTGAAGAGTATATGGGTGAAAAGTATGTGCAAGAAGAGTTTCTGGCTGAAAAGTATGTGCAAGAAGAGTTCTGGGTGAAGAGTCTCTGGGTGAAAAGTATATGGGTGAAAAGTATGTGCAAGAAGAGTTTCTGGGTGAAGAGTCTCTGGGTAAAAAGTATGTGGGTGAAAAGTATGTGCAAGAAGAGTTTCTGGGTGAAGAGGCTCTGGGTGAAGAGTATATGTGTGAAAGGTATGTGCAAGAAGAGTTTCTGGGTGAAGAGTCTGTGGGTGATAAGTATATGGGTGAAAAGTATGTGCAAGAAGAGTTTCTGGGTGAAGAGTCTCTGGGTGAAAAGTATACTGTATGGGTGAAAAGTATGTGCAAGAAGAGTTTCTGGGTGAAGAGTCTGTGGGTGAAAAGTATATGGGTGAAGAGTATGTGCAAGAAGAGTTTCTGGGTGAAGAGTCTCTGGGTCAAAAGTATATTGGTGAAAATTATGCGCACCAAGAGTTTCTGGGTGAAGAGTCTCTGGGTGAAAAGTATGTGGGTGAAAAAGAGTCTCTGGGTTAAAAGTATATGGGTGACAAGTATGTGCAAGAAGAGTTTCTGGGGGAAGAGTCTGTGGGTGAAACGTATATCAGTGAAAAGTATGTGCAAGAAGGGTTTCTGGGTGAAGAGTATATTGGTGAAAAGTCTGTGCAAGAAGAGTTTCTGGGTGAAGGGTCTGTGGGTGAAAAGTATATGGGTGAAAAGTATGTGCAAGAAGAGTCTCTGGGTGAAAAGTATATGGGTGAAAAGTCTGTGCAAGAAGAGTTTCTGGGTGAAGAGTCTTTGGGTGAAAAGTATGTGGGTGAAAAGTATGTGCAAGAAGAGTTTCAAAAAGTATGTGCAAGAAGAGTTTCTGGGTGAAGAGTCTCTGGGTGAAAAGTATGGGGGTGAAAAGTATGTGCAAGAAGAGTTTCTGGGTGAAGACTCTCTGGCGAAAAGTATGTGGGTGAAAAGTATGTGCAAGAAGAGTTTCTGAGTGAAAAGTCAGTGCAAGAAGAGTTTCTGGGTGAAGAGTCTCTGGGTGAAAAGTATGGGGGTGAAAAGTATGTGCAAGAAGAGTTTCTGGGTGAAGAGTCTCTGGGTGAAAAGTATATGGGTGAAAAGTCTGTGCAAGAAGAGTTTCTGAGTGAAAAGTCAGTGCAAGAAGAGTTTCTGGGTGAAAAGTATGTGCAGGAAGGGTTTCTGGGTGAAGAGTCTCTGGGTGAAACGTATATCAGTGAAAAGTATGTGCAAGAAGGGTTTCTGGGTGAAGAGTCTCTCGGTGAAAAGTATGTGCAAGAAGAGTTTCTGTGTGAAGAGTCTCTGGGTGAAAAGTATATGGGTGAAAAGTCTGTGCAAGAAGGGTTTCTGGGTGAAGAGTCCCTGGGTGAAAAGTATATGGGTGAAAAGTCTGTGCAAGAAGGGTTTCTGGGTGAAGAGTCCCTGGGTGAAAAGTATATGGGTGAAAAGTCTGTGCAAGAAGAGTTTCTGGGTGAAGAGTCTCTGGATGAAAAGTATATGGGTGAAAAGTATGTGCAAGAAGAGTTTCTGGGTGAAGAGTCTCTGGATGAAAAGTATATTGGTGAAAAGTATGTGCAAGAAGAGTTTCTGGGTGAAGAGTCTCTGGGTGAAAAGTATGTGGGTGAAAAGTATGTGCAAGAAGAGTTTCTGGGTGAGGAGCTTCTGAGTGAAAAGTATGTGGGTGAAAAGTATGTGCAAGAAAAGTTTCTAGGTGAAGTGTCTCTGGGTGAAAAGTATGTGCAAGAAGGGTTTCTGGGTGGTATATGGGTGAAAAGTCTGTGCAAGAAGAGTTTCTGGATGAAGAGTCTCTGGATGAAAGTATATGGGTGAAAAAATGCTACAATGCCTCTGGCCATGTGCAGGCCATTCGGAATGATCTTCAGTCAAAGCTGGCAAATGCACAGGAGGAGGTGCTGTAGCAAGTTTTGCATTGCTGTAGATTTTGACCTTGGTCCCTGATGTGACGAAATATTATGCACTTTTTGGACAATGAGGAACTTGGATGTCATGAAGATTGAAATCTATATGCATCGAATGTTTCCCAAAGACACTTCAACGTCACTGCTGCCAAGAGCTGCCAAGCATGTTTGGTTGGAAGGTCCGAACGGCAAGGGAAGCACAGCAGGCGAGTGAAGAGGTCCGCTGCTCAGATTGAGTGCATACATTACACCAAAATGATCCAAAATGCATTTCATTTTTTTTGCACTGTCCCAGAGTCCGGTCTTGCTGCTGACATGGGGCCATCAGCGACAACATGATTCATATGATACAATTATGACGCTATACGTTTGAAAGAAGTGACACACACACACAGGACACACACACAGGCACACACACACTGTTCAAAGTCGTTGCTGTTCAAATTTCGTTGCTATTGGATTTGCATTTACGGAAGATGAATGGATACACACAGTGCAGGAACAATGAATCTGATCTTTTGTGCTTGGTTTTGACAATGCAATCTTGCAATATTTTGTGTTAATTTCATGATTTGAAGCAACTTGAATGGAGAACGTTTGGGAACGTTTGGGATCGTTTGGGACCCTGGGAGGCTTGCCGGAAGATGGAGGCAAGCGATGTGACGAAATATTCTGTACTTTTTGGACAATGGGGAACTTGGATGTCATGAAGATTGAAATCTATATGCATCGAATGTTTCCCAAAGACACTTCAACGTCACTGCTGCCAAGAGCTGCCAAGCATGTTTGGTTGGAAGGTGCGTCTGTGTGTACAGGAGTCTGTGTGTAAAAGCTTCTGTGTGTAAAAGCGTCTGTGTGTACAGGAGTCTGTGTGTAAAAGCTTCTGTGTGTAAAAGCGTCTGTGTGTACAGGAGTCTGTGTGTAAAAGCTTCTGTGTGTAAAAACGTCTGTGTGTGGAAGCTTCTGTGTGTAAAAGCTTCTGTGTGTAAAAGCCTCTGTGTGTGAAAGTGTTTGTGTGTAAAAGCGTCTGTGTGGAAAAGCGTCTGTGTGTAAAAGCGTCTGTGTGTAAAAGCTTCTCTGTGTGTAAAAACTCTTGTGTGTAAAAGCGTCGGTAAGTAAAAGTGTCTGTGTGTAAGAGAGCTTCTGTGTGTAAAGAAGCTTCTGTGTTCAAAAGGGTCTGTGTGTAAAAGGGTCTGTGTGTAAAAGCGTCTGTGTGTAAAGGAGTCTGTGTGTAAAAGCTTCTGTGTGTAAAAACGTCTGTGTGTGGAAGCTTCTGTGTGTAAAAGCTTCTGTGTGTAAAAGCCTCTGTGTGTGAAAGTGTTTGTGTGTAAAGGCGTTTGTGTGTAAAAGCGTCTGTGTGTGAAAGCGTCTGTGTGTAAAAGCTTCTGTGTGTAAAAGCGTCTGTGTGCAAAGGAGTCTGTGTGTAAAAGCTTCTGTGTGTAAAAGCGTCTGTGTGTAAAAGCTTCTGTGTGTAAAAGCGTCTGTGTGTAAAAGTCTCTGTGTAAGCGTCTGTGTGTAAAAGCCTCTGTGTGTGAAAGTGTGTGTGTGTGTGTACAAGAAAAGCGTGTGTGTGTGTGAAAGCTTCTGTGTGTAAAAGTCTCTGTGTAAGCGTCTGTGTAAAAAAGGCTGTGTGTGTGTGAAAATGTGTGTGTGGGTGTGTAAAAACAGTGTGTGTGTGTGTAAAAGCTTCTGTGGGTAAAAGTGTCTGTCGGTAAAAGCTTCTGTGTGTAAAAGCTTCTTTGTGTAAAAGCTTGGGTGCGTGTAAAAGCTTGTGTGTGTAAAAGCGTCTGTGTGTACAAGTGTCTGTGTGTAAAAGCTTCTGTGTGCAAAAGCTTCTGTGTGTAAATGCGCCTGTGTGTAAAAGTGTCTGTGTAAATGCGTCTGTGTGTGAAAGGGTCTGTGTGTAAAAGCGTCTGTGGGTAAAAAGCTTTTGTGTGTAATAGTGTCTGTGTGTAAAAAGCTTCTGTGTGTAAAAGGTTCTGTGTGTAACGCTTCTGTGTAAAAGTGTCTGTGTGTAAAAAGCTTCGGTGTGTAAAAGGTTCCGTGTGTTAAAGCCTCTGTGCGTAAAAGTGTCTGTGTGTAAAAGTGTGCTGTGTGTAAAAGCTAGTATGTAAAAGCTTGCTGTGTGTAAAAGCTTCTCTGTGTAAAAGTGTGCTGTGCGAAAAAGCTTCTGTGTGTAAAAGTTTGCTGCGTGTAAAAGTTTCTCTGTGTAAAAGTGCGCTGTGTGAAAGCTTTTGTGTGTAAAAGCGTCTGTGTGTAAAAGCTTTTGTGTACAGGCTTCTGTATGTAAAAGCGTTTGTGTGTGAAAGTGTGTGTGTCTGTGTGTGTACAAGCACCTGCGTGTAAAAGCGTCTGTGTGTAAAAGCCTCTGTGTTTGAAAGTGTGTGTGTGTGTAAAAGAAAAGTGTGTGTGTGTGTAAAAGCGTCTGTGTGTAAAAGCGTCTGTGGGTAAAAGTGTCTGTGTGTAAAAGTGTCTGTGCGTGAAGGCGTTTGTGTGTAAACGCCTCTGTGTGTAAAAGCCTCTGTGTAAAAGGTTCTGTGTGTAAAAGGTTCTGTGTGTAAAAGCGTCTGTGTGTAAAAGCGTCTGTGTGTAAAAGCTTCTGTGTGTAAAAGCGTCTGTGTGTAAAGGAGTCTGTGTGTAAATGCTTCTGTGTGTAAAAGCCTCTGTGTGTGAAAGTGTTTGTGTGTAAAAGCGTCTGTGTGTAAAAGTGTATGACTGTAGTCTCGTGTGGAGTTTTGCTTCTGCTTCAACAGAACCATCGAGGGCCCGAGAGGGAAGCAATTTGTTGCTCTTGGGGTTTGGTTGGGTCAGGCGGTGTCGCCACAGATGTTCGACATCAGCAGTGATTCGAACGATGTGTCCGAGGTGCTCACACCGGGCGGGTTCTAGTCGAAACGATGGGAAAGTGACCCAAATTCACTTGAATACACATGTTTGACAGGTAAAATTGGTGCCTTTCAGATAGGTACAGCTTGGAAAAGCAAGTGAGTTGGGTAAGGAGCTAGAGTCACAGGGTTTGGTTGGGCTGGGCGGCGACGATGCAGACGTTCGACATCAGCAGTGATTCGAACGATGAGTTCGACTCCGAGGTGCTCACACCGGGCAGGTCCTAGGCGAAACATCGAAAAATTCTGAAGGTGAAACCCTGTTGCGAGAGCAGGGATTGAGCAGGTTGATTGGTGACATCATTGGAGGTTTTACCATACAACTTGGTTGATTGGAAACAATTGGGATCCAGTATCCTACGCCATCCAACCAGAACAATGCGATGAGATACGGTTTGAACTCTGTCATGTAAATTCCAAACAGCGCTCGAAAGCACAATCAGACGACGGTGGGCCCGAGAGCGAGTAGGTGTATAGGTACTCAGATATGTTAGATATACCTATATACATGATTTGCAGACGCCAAAGACTTACATGAGTATGTTCATGAGAACGTTATTCGAGATCAGTGAATATGTTCATTATATGTGTAGATGTCAAGATAAGAATATGTGAAGATGTCAGGGTTTTAGTTGCAAGATACAGACATGGTATGCTGTATAGAAGATGTGAAAAATACAAACATACGGATATGCTGATAGGCTCTCAAACACAGACACACGCAGAGAAACATGTTTACACAAATATACAAACAAACCCACGCACACACACAAAGAAGCTTTTACATACAGAAGCTTTTACAACCAGAAGCCTGTACACAAAAGCTTTTACACACAGACGCTTTTACACAAAAGATTTTACACACAGAAACTTTCACACAGCGCACTTTTACACAGAGAAACTTTTACACACATCAAACTTTTACACACAGAAGCTTTTTCACACAGCACACTTTTACACAGAGACACAGAGAAGCTTTTACACACAGAAAACTTTTACATACCAGCTTTTACACACAGCACACTTTTACACACAGACACTTTTACACACAGAGGCTTTAACACACGGAACCTTTTATACACCGAAGCTTTTTTTACACACAGACACTTTTACACACAGACGCTTTTACACACACAAACTTTGACACACACCCAAGCTTTTACACACAGAAGCTTTTACACACAGACCCTTTTGAACACACAGCTTCTTTACACACAGAAACTTTCTTACACACAGACACTTTTACACACCGACGCTTTTACACACAAGAGTTTTTACACACAGAGAAACTTTTACACACAGACGCTTTTACGCACAAAAGTTCTTACACACAGAAACTTTTACACACAGAAGCTTTACACACAGACACTTTTACCCACAAACACAAGCTTTTTACACAGACACTTTTACTACACACAAAAGTTTTTTACACACAGACGCTTTTACACAAAGACGTTTTAACACACAGACGCGTTTACACACAGACGCTTTTACATACACACACACACAGGCGCTTTACACACTGATGCTTTTGCACACAGAAACTTTTACACACAGACGCTTTTACACACAGGAACTCTTACGCACAGCAAGCTTTGACACACAGTAGCTTTTGCGCACAGCACAGTTTTACACAGAAGCCTGTACACACAGAAGCTTTTACACACAGAAACTTGTAGACACAGCACACTTTTGCACAGAGAAGCTTTTACGCACAGACGCTTTTACACACAGAAACTGTTACACACAGACGCCTGTACACACAAAAACTCTCACACACAGAAGTTTTTACACACAGCACATTTTTACACAGAGAAACTTTTACACAGCAAACTTTTACACACGCTGCTGTCATGTGCATCGGCATTTGACAAGATTAGCTGTTTCCACGCCTCTTGAGGAGGTGGCTTTACCGGAGATGCCCTTCGCTCCAAGCGAGAGCGACGACGAAGACAAAGCAGGGAAGATGAGAGGTATACGGAGTTCATGGGGAGTTGGTGGCCCAAGGGGTTAGCCACACTACACATTACCATACCATGTTAATTGGGAGGGGCCGTGGCAGCAGCCAGTGCCGTTGCTGGCGCAGTATTGCAAGGCTCCATAGTTTTAATACCCAATCAATCCAAATTAAGTTAGAACTTACTAACTATGCTAGAGTTGTAATTAAGCTAGAACTATCGCCCAGCAATAGTCATAAGATGTTTCAAGTTAGAATTACCATATGTAATCCATAGAAATGACCAAATGTGAGCCAAACCAAGTTTGCAATGGTGCCCACGGAGCCCACCTCGTGGAAGATCCGAAAAAAAATACCTTTGGGGGTCTTAGTAAAGGACTTCCGCTGGTGGCACACAGAGGCTGGGAACTATGTGAGACACGCGTGCAATACAAACTACACCATGAGAACATCCATCCATCCATCAACATCCAAGGATAAAACTATAATTTGGCACCTTCCAAAGAATATCCCCAACAATCATCACGAATGGTAGCCTAGGCTACCTGAGTTCCATGTACTTTAGTGCTAGTTTAGTACTGGGCCCCCTTTGGATTCAAAAAGAATCTGGGATCTTGAACCTTGAATCTTGCTTGAATCCGATGTACTTAGGGAAGGGTGGGATGGGAACGAAATTGATGCAATTTTTGATCATCAAAAAACGCCCTAAGTTTTAGAGTCCAAAATGTTAGGAAAACGCTATAAATACCACTAAATTTGCTTGAAACGTAGGTCTTGGAGGGGTGTACCATATATATATATATTTGTACACACACATGTTGTACATGTTGCATCCGACAGTCAGAGATCCCTCTTTTGGTCAGTCATCACTTTTCTTTCGATGATTGATATCTAAAGCAGTTGTACACAGAACTGAATGTTATTTTTCACCAACCGTACCTTCCTTACAGCTGGGGGTTAGAACCGGAGTGAAGCACTAAATCACTAAGTCTGGGTGATGATTTCTCACAATGGCAAGGCCAGGAGATTCATATATTGGGAAGAATAGTCCCAACTGACGAACTCATATTTTTCAGAGGGGTAGGTATACCACCAATCAGTTTTGTTTTCTGTTGTTTAGGTAATCGATCATTGGCCATATTGGCCATGGCCATAACATGTTATAACAAACCTAGCACAGAGGGTACCACCAGCAAAAACTTGTGGACATTTTCTCAAAATGATGTCATCCACACTACATTAAGTTTAGGGACTCAGATGATTGTATCCTTGAACAGAGAAGAACTGCAAGTTGGTCATGCGTAATGTCCGACGGCAACTGAACCCCAAAAGCCATCAGTTTCCCTACTCAATTTCAAGCATTAAAGATTGTGCATGACAATTTGGCGTCCCCAATTTCTGAAGACACCCCATGTATCATTTTCCCACTAATATCAAATGTGAAAATTGAGGTTATATGATATATGTATATATGTAATTATATGTATACATGTATTAATCATGTCAGAGTTTTAGGAAGCCCGCAGGGGTTGGCATTCCGGAAGGTATTTTCTCCCGGTTTGAACACGATCATATTCTCATCGGACTGCCATGTGTGTTAATTGATTTCCATTTATTTGACAAGACTTAGTCCACTATCAGTACCCATTTGTTATATTCCGTCATTTGATGAAGTCTATTCTGGTTGAATATTTGTGAACGGAAAATTTTGATAAAGTCTATCATTGCTAATTAAAATGAAATTGTACACTGAGAATCCCATGACTGATCCATGTTTACTCCATTGGGGATGGTGCTCCCCATTTGCAGGCCTTGCATGACGCCATACTGAAGGAAGTGGAGCAAAGCGTGCAGGACGGGCGATCCGGTGAAAAAATCATGGTGCGGAGATTTCAACCGTGAGCCCGAAATACCAGTTAGACATGGTGAGGTTATCATTCCATAAAATTTATGGTGGCGTTATGACATGTTATAACTTTCTTATAAACGAATAAAGGGCCATAACTGCATCGTCACCGAAATCTCGCGGGGATTTCACCAAGCAACGCTGGGTGTGTATCGAGCAACACAACGGGTGTGTGTCGAAGATGTTGTCCCTTGTTCTTGATGGTGCCATGGTGCCATGAAAAATGCACAACCAACAAAGATGGAGATATTCCCCAAGATATTTGTTTTCTTGAGTTCGCCGTTCAACCAGAAATATATTGACCCAAACAGGTTAACCACATATTCCAGAACGTGGGATTTAAACAACACACACAAACATATATATATATATAGATAATATTCATCAAAATATGAGGAGGGCAACTAGAAAACAGTGGCTCTACTTCTGGCATGTAAGCCTTATCTCAGCATCGAAGCGCTGCTGTAGAGGGTCCAGTCTAGGAACCGAAGAAAACGTCTAACGTCTTTTCTAGTAGCAAAATATGTTGACGTGAAGGATACTTATTAACCAATTGAAGTGACAACGAAAGCGTTCTAGAGCACATTGCTTGTTGTTCAGGGGTCATACCTTCGATTTATGTTCCATTGTGTTTCATGTGCGGATGTCTGAAATTCTTATATCAGCCACTGATATCCACTGGTATGCTCCGACTCTGTTAGACTCTTCAGTGCTGGCTATGGGTTGAATTCCGTTTTTTTGGTCGCAGTCAAACATGACATCGCTACAGATGCTTGGCTGATTTTCCCTGCCCATTGAGCGCTCACCTCGGAGCATCTACATCTTTTATCAAATCGTTCATTGGATGTGCACTTCTGGTCGCCCATTCACCAACTTTTTTTGTGCCCCACAAAATGAATAGATCCAGTACAAAACACATCAAAATAACCAGTTTGCTTTGGGGGGTACTTCATGTTCGGGGCTTAATGAGGCCAGGAGTTGTTTTTTTACAGAAACTGCAGGAAAGAACTGAAGCGTTATTGGCCGAAGGAAAGCAGGTGGGGTCGCCGGGTATCATGATGACCTAATAGTCACGGGGAAACCCCCATAGCTGCTACCATAGCTGGATGGTTTGTTTATTTGCTGGAAAATCCATCTATAAATGGATGATTTGGGGTACCCCTATTTCAGGAAACGTCCATATAGATATGACTGATTAATTATGTTATATGGTATGTAGCAACCCCTAAGCGGTAGAATTTGACAACGTCCTGCAATTTGACCATTTCAGCATTTGCTGAGAATTACTTGCTGTGCTGTATGTGAAACAGCAAGGGAAGTGGAGACCCATGATGTTTGTCTCAGAAGAACCACATTTTGCCTGAAATAGGCAAATGTCCGCAAATCTGACTTGCCCATACTTTCCCTACAATTTTTCCTTTATATACAGGAACCCCTTAATTCCTTGGTGCAAAAAGAAATGGTAAAACTCTGGTTGAATCATAATTGTTCCCCCTGTGATGGTGATGTTCGGCGCGCCCCATCCCCCATTGAACAAACCCACAGCATCGTTTCAGTTTCATGAGTCAAACATTGTGTTCTTAAGATATGTTACATATGTTCTTACGATATGTTGGGATCCATAAGTTTCTCAAAGTGAAATTTTGATTCAAAAACTCTTTGGGTGAATGCACTTGGCAGGGCAAGATAAAGAAAAGGTGTGTCTCTGTTGATTTCCCTCCTTTGAATTGGGATTTTAATGGATGATTTACCAATTGTCCACCAATTCAGCACATGTTTTTCCGTCACAATTTCACGGAATTTTCGGGAAGATTTACAGCGAATTTGCTGAGAAGTCCCCCTACGGTGCGATCACCAACAGTGAAGTCTCTGCTAGTAATTCCTTATTTTTATGTTGGTTGGCACATTTAGTGGGCTTCAATAGTGAACCAAAGATATTTAGAAGGTATGAACAGGTCCGATTTACCACTATTTTAGGAGATTACTTCCGAATCTTTTTTGGTGTCTCCTCCAGAACAGGCTTTGAACCAAGCCCAACAAAAACACCGTGAAGAAGTGAAGGAGTTGATGGATGAGCGTTGTGCAGTGCAAGCTTGCGTCATCACTGCGAGAGCAGCCCAGACCTTCATTCACATCAACACATGCATCCCCGCCATACGGCGAAATATGTGATCTGATGAAACATGGTAGAGTATGGTCTAGTAAGTCTCCCAGTGGCCATGCCACAGTATCTGCTCCAAGTTTGGAAGCGTTTTCCTTTTGCCAAGAATGAATACCACAAATGGAAAATATTGGGCAGCAAACGCAGTGTGACTTACAGAAAGGAGCCGGAGTCTTGTTCATCTTTTTGTTACAAGTTATTATCAAACATGTGGTCTGCATCAATATCGCGTATCTTCCACCACCAAAGGTCAGGCACGAAAAGGCATGTCACAAGGCAGGGTTCATAGGATTGCTGTGGTCCATTGGTGTAATATAGATACATATAGCAAGTCTATGAACCTTTCCGTATGACATTAAATGACAACTTGGAGCTTACCTGCAGGATTTGCGAGTATACAAAGTTCTGTATGAGTCGCGAGATGAACCTGCGCGGCGCCCCAAAATAAACAAACCCAGGGGGGTCCAACCAGTTGAATATATATATATATATGTCTACACACACATATATATATATATATATGCATATACGCAATATGTTTATACATATACATATATGGATATGTAATATATTAATATATATATATATATGGATATGTAATATATTAATATATATATATATATATGTATATGTATATATGTATATATGTGTATATATGTATATATGTGTATATATGTATATATGTGTATATATGTATATATGTGTATATATGTATATATGTAAATATGTATATATGTATATATGTATATATGTATATATGTATATATGTATATATATGTATATATGTATATAATTATATGTATATATGTATATATGTATATATGTATATATGTATATAAATATCACACACACATGTATATATATATATACAAATATCGATTCGGTTGAAGGTTGGCAAGTCCATTTTGGATGCTCTTTGGTAGTTTACATCCATGTCATGTTTGTCCGAGGTCCAGATCAATGGCAACGCTCTGAACTTCGCGGTTGCTTGGAACAAGTCAGGCGCTGAGGGAAAATCGGACTTGAGGTCAAAATGATGTCGTTCAATCGGACATATTTCGCGATGTTTCACTCGGCAAGACGTCCCACTGGTTTTGCCGTTGTTCTGATGAAGGTAAATTATTGCAATGCTATGTGCGTTGGTCAAATTCTCTACCCGGCTCAAATGTTGACTCATCACTTAATTTTTCTGCTTCAACTGCCAGCCAAGCCCATCACAACTGCAATCAAGTTGAGGCTCTAATGCACATCAAAAACCATTGCTTTGGGGTACACCATTCTGGCTAGACCATGCTAGACCCACACAAAATGAAAAACGTTTGGGAGCAACAAACCGCCAAAGTTAAACATGACCAAACAACTATCTGAACGCCGTGGTACTCCATTCACCAGTGGTGACCCTTCAAATCATTCGGTTCAACCTCAAAACACGATGGCCTCGTTTTTCCGGAGAAAACAGACAAAACGACAAGCCAGAAATGTGTCCAGACATGTGGAAAGCAAACTCAATGGCTGCCTTTTTTTTTGGTGCAAGCAAGCAATCAAGGAACTCGAAAACACCGCCTGCGATGTGTGAAACATAAGTGAAACATCGAACGAATTATTCCAATCAAAGCAAACATTGTTAGCCATGGATGGTCGGTTTGTGTGACCTTGAGCTATTGCAGGTAAACTAAATTGAATACAAATTGACATTGCCATTTGTATTCAATTCCAAACACAGTTTCCTTGATATTTCCACCGGCTATTGATTCTGCCTCTACAAGCCTCAAAGAATAAATACTGGGATGGGAACAGAAGCAAAGCACAGTCCGTGGTGTCCATACACAGCTGCCGCTGCATTCACCAGTGGTTCCACCGCAGAAACCAAATCGCTTACTGTAAATCTTTGAGCCTTTGACAGATTTCAGTCTTTGGTTTCTTCGTGAATGCCTGTCTGAGAAGTCTATGAATGTATGAATGCACGCTTCAATGCCTTAGGACCAGCCTTCAGGGAGGGACTCTTCGAGGCTAGCTGAGTGCCGATTCAGGTTTGCATGCCAAAGTGCAGGCATTCGTGCAAACAGCCCTTATCACTTTGCGGCGCTACATGTAGGTTTGTAGGATTCAGGCGAGCATGGAAGTCTCGACAGACCTTGCTGAACTTGCTGTGGCGGGATGAATAGGGCGAATAGGGCTGCTTTGGCCGGTTAGCAAATGAGTGCTTCGATGAAATAGTATCAAGAAGGCTGCTGTTTCTGCTTCATGCGTTACTCATTACCGTGATGTACTGTGGAAAGATACAGTATGTTTTTCCATTCATTCTATGCACAATGAAATGAATTGATTTGGCTAATATACCTTTCCTATTCAACTTCAGCACATTCGCCTTAGAGAATCAGCTGACTCGATCAAAGAGTCTGCGCCTAGTTCTGCTCAACTAGCAGCCACCATTGCAGTTGGATTGTCGAGCAGCTCATGCGGATGCGAAAAGCAAACCAACAACCACATTTTCTTAGAGCAGCATGCAGCAGTGTCGTTTAATTTGCTCCACGACAACCAAAGCGACAAATGATACAAATGTGGGCTCAAAAGACAGGCACCCTCTGAACAGGCTTTTGAATGGATAGAAAGAGTTGAAGGACGTGAAATTGAACCCCCAGAGATTAGCACCGTGATATACTGAATATGGGAAAACGTTCCAAAAATACTTCAGTTTTCTGTGGATGAGGGGAGTGGTACTGAACGGTGACATGTTTTTTTCCCCGGACCCAATTTATTGTATCGGGCGGAAAAAGTCAGTTGTTTTTTTCAGGATGCAAACGAAAACAAGGCCACACCACTTGCTATTCCTCGAGCCCAACTATTTTAATTCCTTTATTCTGAGTAGGATGAAAACATTTGAAACACACCACCCAGATACGAACGCAATTGTTGGGATGGTATTGAAGGCTGTCAAAGACCTTCCTGATACATTTTTCGGTTTGTAAACCTCAAGAGGCACCAACCCTTCACTGTTTTTTCCCCACCTGCTTGGTGCGCAGCTCCTTCCTTCCTTCCTTCCTCTTTCCTTCACTCGCTGCTATCACTCCCGTCGTCTTACTGCACTGTGAGCGCCGGACACCATAGTGCGAGCTCCGGACGCAGTGGGGCGCGCCTGGACCCGAGCAGCAGAATAGATAGAAGGCCATAAAGTGCCAGATAGCATTGTCAGAACCCATGTCAGATAGGATATCAGAAAGAACATCAGAATAGGATGTCAGAATAGAATGCCAGAATGAATGGCCTGAAGATATGCCAGGTAGAATGCCAGTATATGTGCCAGTATATGTGCCAGAAAGACTGTCAGAATATATGCCAGAAGGAATGCCCGAAAGAATGTAAGCACAGATCCCAGAAAGTATGTCAGAATGGATGCCAGATGGAATCCCAGAAAGAATGCCAGATAGAATGTCAGAGTATATGCCAGACAGAATGTCAGATAGAATGTCAGAATATATATATATATACTGTGTATATATATATATATATGCCACATATACTTCCAGATGGTATATCAGAAGCTATGTCAGAATATCGTGTCACGGTGGGGATCACTCGAAGTAAAGTAATTTTCGTATCTTGAGTAACCCCTTTCCAAAGACTGCTAATGTTTCCAGGGAAGATCTGAGGGAAAAAAGGAAGGCAGAAAGGAGTCAAGGAAAGAAAAAAGGAAAAGAGAAGGAGCAATTCAGGAAGAACAAACAGGGGAAAGTAAGACAGGCAGACAAAGAGAAGGAAAACAGAAAAGTGAAGGAAAAACAGAAAAAACTTGACGCAAGGGAAGGAAGAAGGAGTGAACAGCAAAAACATGATTCAGTTTTGACATTTTTTTTTACTCGAAGACCTGTTCACTCATCACCCCATGAAATCCCATGAATGGGGAAGTAAGGCACTTTGAATGGACCATGACTTCCCACACCCAAAACCAAAGGAAATCAAACCACCAAAGCGTTTTCACTCGGTGCTCACCGTTATAAGCGAACGCGGTCCATTGTTTTTCGCCGAGTATATATTTTTTTTCACTGCTTATGTCTTCAACATCAAACAAAAAATTGAAACAAAGGATCCCAAAGCAGTCATTATTCATGCGCTGCTGCAGCGGGCTCTTTGCGCTTGAAAACGGATTTCACAGCTACAGTGTTTAATTTTGCAAAACGCAACGAACTGTTTCCTCCAGTTGCAACTCACCGCAGCATACTCTGACTAGTGACTAGTGGTTTGAGGCGGTTGCAAGACATAGCTAAAAAGGGTAGGTGGGCTTTTGTTTTCCTCCTGATTGGTACCGGATATCAAGCTGTGAAGAGCTACAACAATTTACTGTACACAACCGGAGACATTCGCCATGATGTCAATGGCGCATGATTGGCGTCCATGCACATGGTGGGTAAATGCCCAGCTGGAAGCATGGATGCTTCTTGGCCGAGTATTTGGTATGGTTTATTCGTGTTTATTCAGTGGGTGTGAACATCTCTTTGTCTCCTTCTCGCCTGCTGTTCTTCTGTGTTTTGAGGCATATCCAGCCTGCTGTTCAACTTTTGCTTGTCGCACAGCTGGCACAGCGGCTTGCTGAGCAGCTGGATTGCGAAACGGGCAACTGCCAGTTTCCAGTCTTTGAGGCCAGCGTGCCTTCGTCAGACTCCCAGCTTCAGAAACTCCTGTCCCAGAGAATTCTTTGTGTTTACACATTTTAACCATGTTCAGAATGCAAGGTGTTCAACGCCTCGAATGTTTGAAAGAGCGCGGAACTCAGGAAGTTGCGAAATTATCAGATAGTTAATCATGACCTTTCAATCCTTGTTCCAGTCTTCATCGATTCCTTGTTACTTTTTTGATCATTTGAGCCTTCACACATTTCTCATCATTTCTCCTTCTGACTGAATGAAGACAAATAGTCATGGGCGAGATTGCCAGTGAAAGTGAAAGGAATCCGACTCTTCAAAATCCTGGATATTTTGACACCAGCCCCCCAACGGCTGATGTCCACACCATTGTTTGAACCTGCTGTATTGCATGCCTTGCCTGTGAGATCCTTCCAACCGAGGACCTTTTTCCAGTGGCTTTCACAGAGAAGGAGTCTGACGCAGACAAGAACAGGCTTTGGGCCGGCGGCTTCAAGATCAAAACTGACTCTTTGTGACCATGTCTCGGTGAGAAAATTACCAGACACCGAATTTCAGTCAACGGCATATTGGAGGACTTTTGAAGACCATTTGTGACATAATTGTGAGTCAAGCAGCTGGCTCATGCAGCATAACAGCTGCACCCCTTCTGAACTGTGTTTCTTCCGTGCTCTATGGCTGTCGGGTTCAGGCGAGACTCATGGGTTACGAAGGTGCCTGAAGAGGGAGATGATTTGGAGGAGTTTGATGAGTCTGACGAGTGTCAGTGGTTCGATGACGGAGTTGGTGGCGTTGCCCAGGCCATTTGCACAGTTCATGCAAGAGTCCAGTGTGGCGACTGTTCTCAAGTTTTATCTATGGCTGTAGTCTTGCATTCCAAATCCAACTTAAATGTGGCTGCGATGCAATGCTTGATCTATCGCCATCAAGCCACGAGATCAGTCAGTCGCCCTATATTCCATATGTTTTGGCTTGTCGTCTCCACGTTACCTGCATCTTTTGCTTGACCGACCCAGGCATCTACACAGCACTTGTTGCTCACGACCGATTCCAAGAATGATTCAGAGGTGCCGACATTGCGACATTGCGCTATCCGCCACCTTTTTGATGAGGATGGACCAATGGAGCATCTTCAGTTTGTTCTGTGGCCAGTTGAGCATATTTGGTTCCGATCTTGGTTTTAAGTCAAAGGCGTTCCCAAATCCGGAGATAAAGCCTAGAAATTTTGGCCAGACTATGAGATTGCTGTAGTAGCGTGTAGCAGCAGACTGGAATCAGTCGAATGACACGACAATGCGTTGTTCCGCTTAAGCCGTAGATTTTCAAATCGTGGGCTCGACCTGGGAAACGGCACAGGCACAGGAAAGGTTGCTCATGACTGACTCCGAGGAGAATCTGGAGGCGACGATATTAGGCTGTTAATGTTGGCTGACCAATAGTAACCCCCCCTAAATAAAATACATTTCAAAAAAAAATAGGGGGGTCAGCATTCCAATAGTAAATTTTTGGAACCCTATGGCTGGGATCATGATATGTATCTGATAGATTCTCCATGGTTTTGTTGGGTTTCTGATAGATTCTGAATCGATTTGGGTTTCTCAGAGCTCTTCTTGGAATCTGTCTGGATACTATACCATGCCCTCTGGACAAGGTCTGAACATGACTCTTGTGGCAATACTAAAAGTAAATGGAGCTAATTGACTTTTAGTATTGGAGAAAAAATGGAGTTGGAAAAAAGTTTCCACTATTGCCATGTTTGGTCCACTATTGGCAATGCCCTCTGGACAAGGTCTGAACATGACTCTTTTGGCACTACTAAAAGTAAATGGAGCTAATTGACTTTTAGTATTGGAGAAAAATTGGAGTTGCGGAAAAAAGTTTCTACTATTGATAAGATATCATTATTGGCTAGACAACATTAGGCTGTTAGGCTCAAGGAAGGTTCCATTTGATACATTTTGATACAACATGAGCTGCCTCTATACATCCGTTGAATGCAGCGGCGTTGCAGATGTTGTAATACACAACGGAGGTCAATTTTCGGAGGTGCATAGTTGCAAAGCAAAGGTAGTATTATAGTATTGGTGTTGTAAGAAAAGTAGACTATGACTGACTATGACAGACAATATCATACATTGTGAGAGTTCCGCTAGGCACCAGTATACTATATTGTATTATATATATATATTGTAAACAATAGAGATAGGACACATGCATTTTTCTTCGGTCGATTTTGGAACTGTTTTGTTGCAGATGGCTTCCAATTTTGGACGGATTTGGAGGGGCACTGCACATGTTGCACGTGTGACGACACTAATGTGGGAGAGGTTAGGTTTGCGGTACAGCTTGGAAAGACGCTCGAGTTGGTGTTTCTGGTTAAGTGGGTGAGGTACCAAGGAGCTAGAGGGTTTGGTTGGGCTAGGTGGCGACGCCACAGATGTTCGACATCAGCAGTGATTTGGACGGCGAGTCCGAGGTGCTCACACCGGGCAGGTCTTAGTCGAGATAGGAAAGTGACCCAAGACTCACCTGAATACACAAGTTTGACAGGTAGAAATGGGTGCCTTTCAGATCCTTTCAGAAAGTTGAGCAAAGTTTGAGGTACAGCTTTGAAAAGCAAGTGAGTTGGTGTTTCTGGTGAAGTGGGTGATGTACCAAGGAGCTAGAGGGTTTGGTTGGGCCAGGCGGCGAAGCAGCAGATGTTCGACATCAACAGTGATTTGGACGGCGAGTCCGAGGTGCTCACACTGGGCAGGTCCTTATTTCATGGTATTTCCATATATACCATCAGGAAGGAACATGAAGGCCACGCAAAGGCAAAACATGATATATGGACTCTGTCCAGTGAACAGGTTGGTTGCAGGTGAAGAGTGCGTCGCATGGTCTTGGTAGTCAATGGACCAGTCAATGGATGTCAATGGTAATGATGGTCAGTTGTGGTCCTATCTCAACACTCTATGCCATGATGAATGAAAGAGCTGCAAATTGTTGGTCATGTGCATCGGTTTCCAAGCCTCTGGAGGAGCCGGTTTTGCCGGAGATGCCCTTCGCTCCCCCTGAGGGGGATTACGGCGACGACAGTGAGACGACGGAGCACCTAGAGCAGTTCAGACACGAGCAGGGCAGGGATACATTGGTATCTACTTCTGGCTCCAGTGGATCTTCGTATCAGGCAGGGCAGATGTTCATGGGGACTTGGCGGCCCAAAGGCGGTATACGGTGTACTATACTAGTCTATACTACCTGGTTTGTTGGGAAATGTTAGGACCCCGTATGGGCGGGGAACCTGTATCAACAAACCGGTGTAAAGGGATGAAAGAGGGTTTTCACTGTGCTCAATTGCCATTTCCGACTTTAGGGGTTTGGACAGGAAATCTAATGAAGGCCAACGAAAGGCCTTTGGATTTTGGACCTTGGTGCATAAACGAGAATCGTTACTTCGATTTATTTCATATTATTTCCATTTTTTCCCATCATGAAGGAACATCAAGGCCAAGCAAAGTTCACAGGTTGGTTGCAGGTGGTCAGTTGTGGTCCTATCTCAACACTCTATGCCATGATGAATGAAAGAGCTGCAAATTGTTGGTCATGTGCATCGGTTTCCAAGCCTCTGGAGGAGCCGGTTTTGCCGGAGATGCCCTTCGCTCCCCCTGAGGGGGATTACGGCGACGACAGTGAGACGACGGAGCACCTAGAGCAGTTCAGACACGAGCAGGGCAGGGATACATTGGTATCGGCTTCTGGCTCCAGTGGATCTTCGTATCAGGCAGGGCAGATGTTCATGGGGACTTGGCGGCCCAAAGGCGGTATACGGTGTACTATACTAATCTATACTACCTGGTTTGTTGGGAAATGTTAGGACCTCGTATGGGGCGGGGAACCTGTATCAACAAACCGGTGTAAAGGGATGAAAGAGGGTTTTCACTGTGCTCAATTGCCATTTCCGACTTTAGGGGTTTGGAAAGGAAATCTAATCCCTTCCTCCTAATACTAAACCCCCCCCTAATACAAAACAGTGCAGGTAGTTTTTAGTATTAGGGGGTATTTAGTATTAGGGAACCCTAATACTAAATTAAAACCCTTAATAATAAAAACAATTTTTTCCGATCTCAAAATTAATTAAATTTCCTTATATAACGCAATTAAAATATTGCCAAAAATGGGAGTTCGAAGCTTACCCCTAATACTAAATTAAAACCCTTAATAATAAAAACTATTTTTTCCGATCTCAACATCAATTAAATTTCCTTATATAACGCGATTAAAATATTGCCAAAAATGGGAGTTCGAAGCTTACCCCTAATACTAAATAAAAACCCTTAATAATAAAAACTATTTTTTCCGATCTCAAAATCAATTAAATTTCCTTATATAACGCAATTAAAATATTGCCAAAAATGGGAGTTCGAAGCTTACCCCTAATTGCTAGAGCAGCCAGGCAGCTTGGAGTGAGGGATTGGTACTAGGCCCCCCTAATACTAAACATTCCGGGGTTGACCAGTTTTTAGTATTAGGGGGGAGAACCCACAAATGGTAGGTTGATTTTTAAATTGTTTTTGAAAGGGGATCAATTAAAAGTCAAATTGGCCAAACATGCCAAACTGAAATTTTCAGAAATTGAGGATGGACGCCTGTTTTTAGTATTAGGGGGACGTTTAGTGTTAGGAGGAAGGGATTAATGAAGGCCAGCAAAAGGCATTTGGATTTTGCAATTTTACAATCTCTGAAGGGAATAGATCACACATAGAACCTGTCCAGTCCACAGGCTGTGGGTGATGTGGTCTATTTTTTTGCGATGTTGGAAAAACTGTATTTGCTAAAACGGTGGGGGCCTGGCTTTTCTCTTGATACAAATAGCACTTTTTTCTATGGTTGGCATTGATTTCTGACAGTTTTCTCCATTTGAAGTTCACTTGCGTGTCTTTTTCCAGTTGATCCCAGAGGCATGGCCCAGTAGCGTTGCGAGATTTCAACAAAGCTGTGAATTCCTGCTAATTTTTTGGGCGGTATGTCGAGTTTTGTGCCTACACCAGATGTTTGTTTCTTTTCAGACTTTGCAGAAATCATTCTCCAAGAATGCTTTCAGGTACGAAAGCCATGTGTATGGATTCACGGCATTCCATTTGAAGCGAAGACCGAGGCCGGTTTTTTTTGCTCATTTTATCGTCCATGTGGGAGACTTCGGTTGTGTGTCCAGTCAGGACTTTGACACTGGGTGGGAGTACCTCTATGACGGTCTGGTTTGCCCTGAGGTGGGTGCTCTTTGAAACGATTTTAGGATCAAAGTCAGCACAGGTGGTACAGTATTCCTCAGATTTGGGGAGCTTCCCGAGTCAGAGTTTTCCAACTAGAGATACCAGAGTAGACAGTTTCTGGTGGGTGTTGATTGATGTGGATGATGTTGTTCTTCTTGAAGGGCTGTTGGTCTGTAGCCTTCAAGGGCGGCATAAGATTCATCATGTTTGCATTGTGTCGTTTTCTTGGTTGTTCCAGCATCTTGCGAAGTCTGCACCCTTAGGATCCTGTTGGTGAGATTTCCTTGCTGGCACCATTGCCACATCCTGCAAGGCAGAGACAATCACGAAAGTTCAGGAAGCAAGGCATGATGCAAGGCATGATGCAAGCCATGGAGTGCTTTTGTTGATTGTGCATAGATTCATGTTTGAATCAAGAATGGATTCGGTAGTTTGTGCGTTGGTGGTCTCAATCATACCAAAGACTGAAGATGTGAAACTTGAAAGAGTGCAGGCTGGCCGAGGGGACACTCTGTCCTCAGTTCCTTTGCAGAATGATGGCAGACTGAAACGCTTGGTGTGACTTCGAGGGCTTGAAACATTCCAAGTCTCTATTCAAACATGAGTTCCTTCCAGTGTAGACAGATCATCATCATAAGCAGCGAGAAAGACGTTGCTTCTTGCTGAGGATATTTCTTCATCTCCTCGGCTTCCTACCTGTGACTCAACTTGTGAAGAGCGCCGCAAATCTTGGAGAAAACGACCAACCTTCAACATTGTTCAACAGTTTCTTTGGCAGTTTCTTTGGCGGTTTTGTTCAGCTTTCCTTCGCTTTCCACAGATATGAATGCTCTGACTTGGTGTGATGTGCAGACCGAGCCAAGGTGACCGAAGTGTTAGAGGACAACCTTCAAGCAGTTTCACGCAACTTTTCGAGTCGCGAGGCACGAATGATGCCAACATGTTCCAACGCTAGCTGGGAGGGACATGATGAGATCCTTCTCTGCATTCTGACTGTCAAAAGAATCCAAGCTTGAACAGGTTTGGATGACCCACTTGTTCAACTTGATGGATTTCGATTCATTCCAGCCTGTCACTGGCATTCCGCCACTTGGCTGCATTGCGGGGAATTTTCTTGCTAGTTGTTTCGTCTTTGCGCTTCTTCGTCATCAGACAATCTGGGCAAAATGAGGTGGGAAGATGTCAGACGTTTCAAAACTTTCAGGGCAGATTGCTTGTGGAAAGAACAGATGATAAAATCTTGCGTGACCACCATTTTCTTGTTACGTCTCTCTCCCTTTCGAAATTGGTTTTTGGCTCACTTTCCTTCGCTTGTTCGATTTCTCTCCCCATTGCTGCCCCTTTCCCTTTCTTTGTGCGTTCTCTTTCTTTACTTTGGGCCTTTTCTTCTTTATGGAGTGATCGAGCAAGGGTTTCCATGCATAAGTGATGGTATAGAAGAAAAATGAGCGAAATATCCACAGCTCCCAGCTCGCAACCATCAGCGTGGCTGATACTATGTGAACGTGGTCATTCCAAAGGCCTCGAAATGGCGTTTGCGTGGCCCAAGACTTTGCTGCGCAGTGTGCATGTCGTGTGAATATCTAAGTTTCTTGGCAGGTGCAGCGGTCAGACATGTCTTGTGTTGCCACTTGTTGTGTGAATCGTCTTGTCGGTGCGGCGCACAGGAGAAAAGACACCTGGGTTGTCACGTCCATTTAGCATGGTAAGCGCACGATTAGGACATGTTGCCTTGATCGTCAACCACTTCCCCCTTTGACACAACCGTGCATGGTGCGTTTCACAGCAGATATCATGTTGATTTATTCTTTCGTGCCAGGTGCAGTAGGGCCCAGTAGGGACATCTTCGCATGACCTTCCACTGCTTCCTGCGTTGTCATTCCTCTGCGGACGTGCTTGATACTGTAGCTCATTAATGCTCATTATATACTATTATATCCTTGTTTTCAGGGTGAAGGGCAGTACTGGTGAAGGAGACTACTTCAACAAACGTGTTATTTTGGCGGAAGAGTGTCGAGGAGGAAGGTTGTACTTCAAGAGTCTCGCAAAACCGAGTTCTACGAGTGTTTGCAGTGCACTTTGTGCCCAGGACGGCCCCGGTGTGGCATCCAATTGAAGAGCTTTCAGCGTGTTTTCGCATTGCAGTCAACTGCACGGACAAGTCTTTGTCCATCAGAGAGAGACTGGCTTCTCCTCCTGTAGTGCAATTTCGCGCCGAAGCTTCAGAAGGCTTCCAAGGTGCGGGTGCTTTCGGGCGGATCTGTGCTGAAATTGCTTAGCACCAGGACGTGGCGGGGGTTCCCACAATCATCAGTGATCAAATCAGGATTGAAAGGAGACCGTGCCGTGAGTCATTGGACATATCCAGAAAACGCCAAGAAGGAACCAGGAGCTTGGCCTTTGAAGTGGTTCAATGTTTGCATTTATTTTCTCCTGGAAAGATATACTTAGTGACTTAATCTTGCCCTGGGAGGCTGCTACCACTTCTTATGCGGCCCATGGGCTGAGAAGCTCCAAGGCAAGTACCTTGCCCATGTCGACTTGGTGGTCAAGAACGGGGACGCGCGTTTCTTAGGAGAAAGTCTTTCCCATGTCGACTTGGACTTTTGAGTCGGGACGCAGGGAGTTTTTGCCACGAGGTCGACGTTTGTATGATAGCATTACATTGTTTATGTAGATATGGGGATTTTCATTGCCTGGTCAGATTGCCAAAAGGTAGCGAACCCTGACTCACCTAACAAGCCTGCCTTTAGTAGACCAGCAAGCTGCTGTATGTGATGATGTCTACGCCAACGCGACAAATGTGGGCCTAAAAGACAAGCACGCTCTGAACTGGCTTTTGGAAGCTTGCTAAATCACAACGTGCGGCAACCGATTCACAGAAAGAATTGCAAAGTAGTCAACGAGCTCTTCAGAATCTGATGAGTGTCCTTCCGCAGCTGTTCATAAATTACTCAAAACGTTTGCGAAATGGCATCCACCCGCCTGTTTGGATGCGCCACAACAGGATCCAGCAATGCGCGGGTACTCAGCGATCTCTGTTTGTTTATCCCAAGATGCTGCATCATAATGATTAGTTTCCACGAAAGCTAGCTTGTGCTAGCTGAAGTTGCCTTTTCTTTAGCAAAGCAGCTGATTTTGCTGGTAGGTTTTTTGGCTGAGTTCAATGGTTGCTTGTAGAGCTTCGCACGCCAGCGATGCCATAATAAGGGCTATGTATAGTAGTGTGAGCGTTGGTGTTGTTCATGTGCTCTGCGCGTGCGCGCAGGTGCAAAGCAGAGTGTGATGTTCTTGCAATACCGCAGCTGGTAACCATCTTACCACATTTTTGTCGCATTTTTGTGCTTGTTCTTCTTCTTGTTGTTCTTGTTCTTGTTCTTGTTCTTGTTGTTGTTGTTGTTCTTCTTCTTCTTCTTCTTCCTCTTCTTCTTCTTCTTCTTGTTGTTGTTGTTGTTGCTGTTGCTGCTGCTGCTGCTGCAACACAGCTTATATATTTTCGCATTTTTGTGGACCCCTAAAAATCGTCAAATAGGTGGTGTTTTCGCATTGTTTGACACCCTCGACCTTCGGAGCAACAAAAACATTGTAAATACTAAATACGGATGTTTTTTGTGCCTAGCAAGCCCCAAACCATGGTATTCACGATGTTTTTTTTGGCTTCTGGTAGCAAGTATCTTGCCCATGTCGACTTGGTGGTCAGGAAGGGGGACGCTCGGTTCTTAGGAGACGTTTGAGTCGGGACGCAGGCAGTTTTTGCCACCAGCTCGACCTTTGTGTGATAGGGTTTCATTGTTGATGTAGATATGGAGATTTGCATTGCCTGGTCCGACTACCAAAAGATCCAAAAGGTAGCGAAGCCTGACTCACCAAACAAGTCTGCCTCTAAGTTGCTTGACAGCACGCGCAGACTTTTGTAGACCAGCAAACCGCTGAATGTGATGATGCCTGCGCCAACGCGACAAATGTGGGCCCAAAAGACAAGCACGCTCTGAACAGGCTTTTGAATGGATAGAAAGAGTTGAAGGACGTGAAATTGAATCCCCACAAAGGGAATGCCATGTTGGAATTCGATTTTAATGTTGTGATGGACCGTTTTTGGTGCCGCTCTTGGTGTTTCTGGTGGCTTTGGGTTTGGATAAGTTTGGATGTTAAAACCTTTTCCTTCCCATGGCATCGATTTCTCTGGCTTAAGTCTTCCATGCTGGTATCCAGTCGTGACAATCGTATGGAGTCCAAGCGCACTTTTGGTGACAAAACCTAGATTCCAAGCGGCACAACTATCCATCTTATGTTTGGCTAATTTTTTTTGGACAGGAAAAGCGCCTTATGTGTGGCAGGGACCTGTTTGGTCCGATATGACCGTATGAGTTGCAACCAGTTGCCAGTCCTCATACAAGAATTTGCAGGAAAAACATCTGTTGAAACGTAAATAGTGATGTAACACAGCGATTAGCACTGTGAAATACAGAATATGGGAAAACGTTCCAAAAATACTTCAGTTTTCTATGGATGAGGGGAGTGGTACTGAACGGTGACATTTTTTTCCCCGGACCCAATTTATTGTATCGGGCGGAAAAAGTCAGTTGTTTTTTTCAGGATGCAAACGAAAACAAGGCCACACCACTTGCTATTCCTCGAGCCCAACTATTTTAATTCCTTTATTCTGAGTAGGATGAAAACATTTGAAACACACCACCCAGATACGAACGCAATTGTTGGGATGGTATTGAAGGCTGTCAAAGACCTTCCTGATACATTTTTCGGTTTGTAAACCTCAAGAGGCACCAACCCTTCACTGTTTTTTCCCCACCTGCTTGGTGCGCAGCTCCTCCTTCCTTCCTTCCTCTTTCCTTCACTCGCTGCTATCACTCCCGTCGTCTTACTGCACTGTGAGCGCCGGACACCATAGTGCGAGCTCCGGACGCAGTGGGGCGCGCCTGGACCCGAGCAGCAGAATAGATAGAAGGCCATAAAGTGCCAGATAGCATTGTCAGAACCCATGTCAGATAGGATATCAGAAAGAACATCAGAATAGGATGTCAGAATAGAATGCCAGAATGAATGGCCTGAAGATATGCCAGGTAGAATGCCAGTATATGTGCCAGTATATGTGCCAGAAAGACTGTCAGAATATATGCCAGAAGGAATGCCCGAAAGAATGTAAGCACAGATCCCAGAAAGTATGTCAGAATGGATGCCAGATGGAATCCCAGAAAGAATGCCAGATAGAATGTCAGAGTATATGCCAGACAGAATGTCAGATAGAATGTCAGAATATATATATACTGTGTATATATATATATGCCACATATACTTCCAGATGGTATATCAGAAGCTATGTCAGAATATCGTGTCACGGTGGGGATCACTCGAAGTAAAGTAATTTTCGTATCTTGAGTAACCCCTTTCCAAAGACTGCTAATGTTTCCAGGGAAGATCTGAGGGAAAAAAGGAAGGCAGAAAGGAGTCAAGGAAAGAGAAAAGGAAAAGAGAAGGAGCAATTCAGGAAGAACAAACAGGGGAAAGTAAGACAGGCAGACAAAGAGAAGGAAAACAGAAAAGTGAAGGAAAAACAGAAAAAACTTGACGCAAGGGAAGGAAGAAGGAATGAACAGCAAAAACATGATTCAGTTTTGACATTTTTTTTTACTCGAAGACCTGTTCACTCATCACCCCATGAAATCCCATGAATGGGGAAGTAAGGCACTTTGAATGGACCATGACTTCCCACACCCAAAACCAAAGGAAATCAAACCACCAAAGCGTTTTCACTCGGTGCTCACCGTTATAAGCGAACGCGGTCCATTGTTTTTCGCCGAGTATATACTTTTTTTCACTGCTTATGTCTTCAACATCAAACAAAAAATTGAAACAAAGGATCTCCAAAGCAGTCATTATTCATGCGCTGCTGCAGCGGGCTCTTTGCGCTTGAAAACGGATTTCACAGCTATAGTGTTTAATTTTGCAAAACGCAACGAACTGTTTCCTCCAGTTGCAACTCACCGCAGCATACTCTGACTAGTGACTAGTGGTTTGAGGCGGTTGCAAGACATAGCTAAAAAGGGTAGGTGGGCTTTTGTTTTCCTCCTGATTGGTACCGGATATCAAGCTGTGAAGAGCTACAACAATTTACTGTACACAACCGGAGACATTCGCCATGATGTCAATGGCGCATGATTGGCGTCCATGCACATGGTGGGTAAATGCCCAGCTGGAAGCATGGATGCTTCTTGGCCGAGTATTTGGTATGGTTTATTCGTGTTTATTCAGTGGGTGTGAACATCTCTTTGTCTCCTTCTCGCCTGCTGTTCTTCTGTGTTTTGAGGCATATCCAGCCTGCTGTTCAACTTTTGCTTGTCGCACAGCTGGCACAGCGGCTTGCTGAGCAGCTGGATTGCGAAACGGGCAGCTGCCAGTTTCCAGTCTTTGAGGCCAGCGTGCCTTCGTCAGACTCCCAGCTTCAGAAACTCCTGTCCCAGAGAATTCTTTGTGTTTACACATTTTAACCATGTTCAGAATGCAAGGTGTTCAACGCCTCGACGAATGTTTGAAAGAGCGCGGAACTCAGGAAGTTGCGAAATTATCAGATAGTTAATCATGACCTTTCAATCCTTGTTCCAGTCTTCATCGATTCCTTGTTACTTTTTTGATCATTTGAGCCTTCACACATTTCTCATCATTTCTCCTTCTGACTGAATGAAGACAAATAGTCATGGGCGAGATTGCCAGTGAAAGTGAAAGGAATCCGACTCTTCAAAATCCTGGATATTTTGACACCAGCCCCCCAACGGCTGATGTCCACACCATTGTTTGAACCTGCTGTATTGCATGCCTTGCCTGTGAGATCCTTCCAACCGAGGACCTTTTTCCAGTGGCTTTCACAGAGAAGGAGTCTGACGCAGACAAGAACAGGCTTTGGGCCGGCGGCTTCAAGATCAAAACTGACTCTTTGTGACCATGTCTCGGTGAGAAAATTACCAGACACCGAATTTCAGTCAACGGCATATTGGAGGACTTTTGAAGACCATTTGTGACATAATTGTGAGTCAAGCAGCTGGCTCATGCAGCATAACAGCTGCACCCCTTCTGAACTGTGTTTCTTCCGTGCTCTATGGCTGCCGGGTTCAGGCGAGACTCATGGGTTACGAAGGTGCCTGAAGAGGGAGATGATTTGGAGGAGTTTGAGGAGTCTGACGAGTGTCAGTGGTTCGATGACGGAGTTGGTGGCGTTGCCCAGGCAATTTGCACAGTTCATGCAAGAGTCCAGTGTGGCGACTGTTCTCAAGTTTTATCAATGGCTGTAGTATGCTGTAGTCTTGCATTCCAAATCCAACTTAAATGTGGCTGCGATGCAATGCTTGATCTATCGCCATCAAGCCACGAGATCAGTCAGTTGCCCGATATTCCGTGTGTTTTGGTTGTCGTCTCCACGTTACCTGCATCTTTTGCTTGACCGACCCAGGCATCTACACAGCACTTGCTTGAGATAAAGTCTAGAAATTGTGGCCAGACTATGAGTGTTGCTGTAGTAGCGTGTAGCAGCAGACTGGAATCAGTCGAATGACACGACAATGCTTTGTTCCGCTTAAGCCGTAGATTTTCAAATCGTGGGCTCGACCTGGGAAACGGCACAGGCACAGGAAAGGTCGGGGGGTCGCATGTACACGCGAAATAAAAATCGCATGTACACGCGAACGACTTGGGGGAGAAGATCGCATGTACACGCGAATAGGAAACGTCTATTTTTTACTTGTAAAAACAAATGAAAATAGAGACTTGTGGTGTATGTGACGTTTCTATCTGCAACCATGCGTGGAAGTTGGTGGAAGCAGGCTATCTGTGCGGCCAAGATCGCAACTACACACGAATAGGAAATGTCTTTATTGAAGGTTATCTCTCTATCTATGTATCTATCTATCTATCTATCTAGCTATCTAGCTATCTATTTATCTATCTATCTATCTATCTAGCTATCTAGCTATCTATTTATCTATCTATCTATCTATCTAGCTAGTGAGCTATCTATCTACCTATCTATCTATCTTTCTTTCTATCTATCATCTATTTATCTATTTTTCTTCTATCTATTTATTGATTTCGCAATTTATCTATCTATCTATCTATCAATCTATCTTTCTATCTATCTATCCATCTATCTATCTATCTATCTGTCTAAGACTCGTTACAGGGACTTGGGAATGGTGAGACCCCGGCAGGAGTTCTTTAATGTAAGCTACCTATCTATCTAGCTATCTAGATAGATAGATACATATATAGATAGATAACTTTCATTAATTAAAGAACTCCTGCTGGGGTCTCACCATTCCCAACCCCCTGTAAAGAGTCTTAGACCTGGCTCTCCTCACATTAAATGCAACAAGATATAAACCCTAAAGGTGTCGTGGCTCTTCTTACATCAAGTGCAACAAGATATAAACCCTAAAGGTGTTGTGGCTCTCCTCACATTCAATGCAACAAGATATAAACCCTAAAAGCGTTGTGGCTCTCCTTACATCAATTGCAACAACATATAAACCCTAAAGGTGTCATGGCTCTTCTTACATCAAGTGCAGCAAGATATAAACCCTAAAGGTGTCGTGGCTCTTCTTACATCAAGTGCAACGACATATAATCCCTAAAGGTGTCGTGGCTCTTCTTACTTTAAGTGCAACAAAATATAAACCCTAAAGGTGTCGTGGCTCTTCTTACATCAAGTGCAACAAGATATAAACCCTACAGGTGTCGTGGCTCTTCTTACATCAAGTTCAACGGCATATAATCCCTAAAGGCGTCGTGGCTCTTCTTACATTAGGTGCAACAAGATATAAACCCTAAAGGTGTCGTGGCTCTTCTTACATCAAGTGCAGCAAGATATAAACCCTAAAGGTGTCGTGGCTCTTCTTACATCAAGTGCAACAAGATATAAACCCTGTAGGTGTCGTGGCTCTTCTTACATTTAAATCAAGTCTAAGAGTAGTGTTGCTCATGACTGACTCCGAGGAGAATCTGGAGGCGACGATATTAGGCTGTTAGGCTGTTAGGCTGTTAGGCTCAAGGAAGGTTCCATTTGATGCATTTTGATACAACATGAGCTGCCTCTATACATCAGTTGAATGCAGCGGCGTTGCAGATGTTGTATACACAACGGAGGTCAATTTTGCGAGGTGCATAGTTGCAATGCAAATCTGAAGCTCAATGAAAGGATACAGCATACATAGCCTCTTTGTTGAGCCCAGAGCATCTCCGACCTTTCACCATCTGATGCAGCTGTATTTGGGTAGTATTATAGTATTGGTATTGTAAGAAAAGTAGACTATGACTATGACTATGACTATGACTATGACAGACAATATCATACATTGTGAGAGTTCCGCTAGGCACCAGTATACTATATTGTATTGTATATATGGTCCCGGCCGGTGGAAATCCCCCCCCAATGGTATCCCCCCCCAGACACCCATCCCCAGGAACCATCCCCATACATACATACTGCAAATGGGGACTAGATGGGAATACAGTATACATACTTCCCATTGTATTTCAAGGGATTGACCGCCAAACGCAATGTTTGGCTCAAGTGCCCATATCAAGGAAAATCAATTGCGCTTCCGCTGCATGCCGTTGAAACGTTGGTAAACACAAACGCAAGGTATTCTGAAACGAGTTGAACCACATCCGGAACAGGGATCATTCTGTTCACAGGTTATCAGCCGTAAGGGCTCTCAACCTCCATCGGAGGCGGAGTACCTGCGTGCTGTTAACCAACGTCGGGTGCAAAAGATCGTGAAATCCGATCGGCACCAGCATCGCAAAGATGCAAGGCGACAGCGGAGAGACGCAGTTCACCTTTGACGGCAACGCCGCAGCCCCTGCAGAAGGTATATCACAATCTTCTCCAGGAACAGCTGACAGCGGGGAAAAGTCGACAAGGACGACAAAATCTGGATGGCAAAAGATGACTTCTAGACATCGAAGAGCATCAACCACCAGTACTCCAAGATCGGCACGTGATGTGGCTCGAAGTGGGAATGCACGACGAAGCCACCGATCACCGAGAAGGACACCTACCGGACACAGGACCCCGAGGGCAGTCGAGGACAAACATGGTAGGGAGTCAAGTGATGTCAGTGTCAAAAGAAGATCAACAGAAGCACGTGGTAGCAGTGAACCAATAGCTATCATTGAAGAACTTAGAGAGCAATGTCAAATTCTGAGAGAGAAAGTGACACAAACCGAGATGTACGCAGCTTCAAGGGATCAAGTCATTAAGAACATTGAGGCCAAGTTCACCGAATATCTTCGTGGACACAATCAACAGGTATTCAATGAAATCAACACACTCAACAAACGATTGATGTACTCGACGAATGAAGTATCTGAATACCATGCTGAGTTGATGTTAGCCTCCAAGGAAGATGAAGGTGCAACCATTCGTATTGAAGAACTTGAACGTCGAGGTGCACTCGCCGAACATGGTGCCAGACGGATCCACCAACGTGGTATTGAGATCCAGGAAGAGTACAAGGACGAGGTGCACCACCTTCAAGGACTACTTGGGCATACTGAATCACGTCTTCAACAGATGCAACATGACAGTAGCCTTGCTAGGAGTGTAGCCGAAACATTGTACAAGGAAGGAAACGAGATGCAGAGAAATCTTGAAAGTTCCATAGTGGAATATCGTAGTCAATCCGAACTGGCAAACTTCTCACATACTCATTTGGAGATGACAAGTCAAAGACAAGCCTTCATTGTCAACGAGCTCACTGATGAGAACCAAATGTTGAGTGAAGCAATCAGTCATTCCCGTAAGCAAGCCGAGTTGTATGAAAACAACATGGAGCAGATCACTAGAGAGTATCGCAAGAAAATCAATGAAGCCAACAATGCTAAGCTGGAGAGTGATCTACGTCATCGAAACACAGAACATGATACAGTCAAACGGTTTGCAAATTACAGGAATACCGAGGCTGAGGCGATTGCTCAATTGAGGTTTGAATCAAGCGTCAGCTCAAATGCTCGCGAGAAGATGGAGCACTATGAGATGCTATACAACAATGAGCGAGCGCTGACGAATGAGCTCAAGACAGAGATCGAGGACCGAAACGTCAAACTGAGACGGTCTCTTCAGGAGGGCCCAATGGCCATCGGCCACGGTTCTAACCAACATGCTATACAACATCTCGAAACTGAGGTTAAGGTCGCACAGGTTAGGGCCCAAGATCTTTCTGAGGAAATGGATGAATGTATGTACACCAACATCAGATTGAAGGATGAATTGGCCGAGGTTTCGAGGCAAGGGTCAGCGACCCCCCTCGGATCCGAGGTCGCCATCCTTAAGGCAGAGCTTGAGAGTGAACGTAAGTACAAACTAGCCACAGGAGCCCAACAATATGAACGATCATGTGAATATTTGGGTGGGCTGAGGGATAGGGATGAGAAATTGGTGATGAAAGATGCGGAGATATCCAGATTAAGAAAAGGTCTCATAGACGCAGAGCTAGCCATCAAAAGCCAAGAGAATCTCAATGCACTTCCCTTCTCTGCAGGTATCACAAGCAGTGCCCTGTCACCCTACATGATGATCGGCAAGTTGGAGAGTGAGGTTGAAGCGGCAAATGATGAGTCGAATATTCTACGTGCTTGGATTCGACAGCTTGATGACGAGCTCAACAACGAATCAGCAACGGCTCATTCTAACACTGCCGCGGGTACAGGACATGCACAACAGCAACCCTCACATTCGGAGAATCAGAGAGTGACCGAGCTCCTGCGCGAGGAAAAGGGGTCAGCGTAGATGAAGGGGCAGGAATTCCCAACCACCGAAGACCTGACGGCAACGATGATCCTGACTTCCCAGGTGGGCCTCCTGATCCTAACGGACCTCCTGGACCTCCCAATCCACCTGGCTTACCTTCGCTTCGTGGGTCGCAGAGGGACTCAGCAATTGATTTGGAGTCTACGACTGCTTTCACTGCTGAAGAACCTCCAAGGATATCCAGACGAGAAGCGGACAAAGTCTACATCAGTCCGTGGCCAAAGCACCAGAATCTGGGCGTTTGGCAATCTGATCTGATTAAAAGTGTATGCCTCGCTGCCAACGACGGCGATCGAGCCGCATGGGAAGCTTGGTTACAACCCGCACTCAGGCAAAACCCTGACATCGATGCTCTGAACGATAGCGGAGGGCAAAGGTTTCAGTCAATTGATGCGAAGCTTTCCATTGCATTGTCAAAC